CTCAAACCTCCGCAGAGGTCACTCCTATCTACACCCTACCTTCAAGCTCAAACCTCCGCAGAGGTCGCTCCTATCTACACCCTACCCTCAAGCTCAAACCTCCGCAGAGGTCACTCCTATCTACATCCTACCTTCAAGCCCAAACCTCCGCAGAGGTCGCTCCTATCTACACCCTACCCTCAAGCTCTAACCTCCGCAGAGGTCACTCCTATCTACACCCTATCCTCAAGCTCAAACCTCCGCAGAGGTCACTCCTATCTACACCCTACTTTCAAGCTCAAACCTCCGCAGAGGTCGCTCCTATCTACTCCCTACCCTCAAGCTCTAACCTCCGCAGAGGTCACTCCTATCTACACCCTATCCTCAAGCTCAAACCTCCGCAGAGGTCACTCCTATCTATACCCTACCTTCAAACTCAAACCTCCGCAGAGGTCGCTCCTATCTACACCCTACCTTCAAGCTCAAACCTCCGCAGAGGTCACTCCTATCTATACCCTACCTTCAAGCTCAAACCTCCGCAGAGGTCGCTCCTATCTACACCCTACCTTCAAGCTCAAACCTCCGCAGAGGTCGCTCCTATCTACACCCTACCCTCAAGCTCTAACCTCCGCAGAGGTCACTCCTATCTACACCCTATCCTCAAGCTCAAACCTCCGCAGAGGTCACTCCTATCTACACCCTACTTTCAAGCTCAAACCTCCGCAGAGGTCGCTCCTATCTACTCCCTACCCTCAAGCTCTAACCTCCGCAGAGGTCACTCCTATCTACACCCTATCCTCAAGCTCAAACCTCCGCAGAGGTCACTCCTATCTATACCCTACCTTCAAACTCAAACCTCCGCAGAGGTCGCTCCTATCTACACCCTACCTTCAAGCTCAAACCTCCGCAGAGGTCGCTCCTATCTTCAAGCTCAAACCTCCGCAGAGGTCACTCCTATCTATACCCTACCTTCAAGCTCAAACCTCCGCAGAGGTCGCTCCTATCTACACCCTACCTTCAAGCTCAAACCTCCGCAGAGGTCGCTCCTATCTACACCCTACCTTCAAGCTCAAACCTCCGCAGAGGTCGCTCCTATCTACACCCTACCTTCAAGCTCAAACCTCCGCAGAGGTCGCTCCTATCTACTCCCTACCCTCAAGCTCTAACCTCCGCAGAGGTCACTCCTATCTACACCCTACCCTCAAGCTCTAACCTCCGCAGAGGCCGCTCTAAACTCAAACTCTCACAAAGCTCCATCTTTCGTAAGAGCTACTCTCCTCCACTCTCTGCTCCATACCTTCACTCTACTCTGGCCCCCGCAGGGGTCACTTAGAGCTCCAACTCCTACAAGATTCTCTCAAAGTTCTCTTTCACTGCTTCAAACCACCTATTCTCCCCTTCTTCTTAACCCCGAAAACCATGACCCCCGCAGGGGTTCCTTCAAACTCTAACTCCAGCAAGAGTTATTAGAATCCTCTTTTCACCCTTATTAATCCTATCTAATTAATGCCCATGCATTTAACCTCTTTTCTTCTACTATATCCAGCAGCCGGATATAGCTCTAAATTTCCTGCCTTTTGGGGGGTTTTTTCTTCGAATACGCGGCTGCTGTCCCGAGCGATTAATTCTGCATTTTGGGGAGTTCTGAGATCCACCGAGCTCAGGCTCCCTTCTTGCTCTGCCAACGGGAGGAAGCCCCGGGCTCGAGGAGCCCTTGAGCTCGGGGCTCTCTCCCGGGACAGCATGCCAAATAAGCTTTGTAAATCATCAGCTAAGTGTGAACTCTTGAAGTGAAGTTTATTCATAAACTAATTTCGAGAGGATCACGTGCTTATGATTTATCACGTCCAGTCTCGCATTTGCTAATCACTAATCTTCCAATCATACGAGCCCTAAGGCACCATAAATAGTCTAAGTTTCCAGTTCACTTTATCTTCGTTTGGAAGAAACCCCCCTCCTCCCCTATTCTCCTCCTTTACCTGTAATTGGGCGGCACGGCGGTCCAGTGGTTAGCACTGTGAACCACACAGCAAGAATACTGCCGGTCCTAGTTCGATAGGACCGGTGAGTGTTTCTGTGGGGAGTTTGTATGTCCTTCCCGTGTCCGCGTGGGTTTTCCCCGGGCTCTCCGGTTTCCTCCCACCATCCAAAGACATTCAACATACTTAACAATCAAGCTGGTCTAATTCCTTACGTTCCCTTAGCTACAGCGGCAGGGGAGTTCTGAGATCCACCGAGCTCAGGCTCCCTTCTTGCTCTGCCAACGGGAGGAAGCCCCGGGCTCGAGGAGCCCTTGAGCTCGGGGCTCTCTCCCGGGACAGCATGCCAAATAAGCTTTGTAAATCATCAGCTAAGTGTGAACTCTTGAAACTGTTTAACTTTAGATGACTCGTAAAATGAGACGGTTTTCAAAAACCTACTTTAAATCCAGTGGATGACTGATTGCACTTCTGTGCTTTGTGGTGTTTCACCATTCCAAAGGAAAAAGGTAAAAAAAATGCATCGCAAATCAGAGGACACAATTACAGCACTCAAAATGTCTGGGCTAAATCAAGACCTACATCAACTGATTTGGAAAAAACTGGCCACAGTAACGGAAAAGATAAGAAATATACATTAAAGGGGCAGTTCAAACAAACAATGACAGCTCTGTCATCATTTTCCCAGCCTTCTCTTGTTTCAAACCATCATGAGTTTCTTCAGTCAAACCAACACAATCTCACGGCAATTCGTAACTTTTTCATTTAGTGGCTAATTCGTATAAAATTCGTACAATTTAGTATGGTTTGCTTATCCCCCAATGACGGTTAGGGTTAGGGGTGGGATCAGGTGCCACGTCTTCTTTTTAAAATCGTACCATTTCGTACGACTGAACTCGTACGAATTCGTACGAATTAGCCACTAAACTGGCAAAACGTAAAATACTTACGTTTTCTCGTGAGATCAGGCTGGTCAAACACAAGTGAAGATATTTTGAAGAATGCTGGAAACCTCTAACCATTGACTTCCATAGTATTTGCTTTGCATTTCATTCTCCTTCAGCTTAGTCTTTATTTCAGATGTCGCCATGACGGAATGAACCACTAACTATTCTAGCATATGTTTTGCTCAGCAGATGCCCTTTCAGCCGCAACCTAGTACTGGGAGTATTTGTTTTCTTATTATAGAAGTCATTGGTAACACGTTTCTAACACTCATTAAAATACCTTCTTTTGTGTTCAACAAAAGAAAGAACATCATAAAGGTTGATTTTTTTGTATGAACTGTCCCTTTAAAGGGTCACGAAACACCAAAACACATGTTTTGAGCTGTTGACAGTCGTATATGTGTCCCACACTGCTAAAAACACTATTAGGACACCTATATTTCACTAAAAAGTGTAAATTGGTTGTTTTTGCGTTATTTCAAGCAAATTCGTACTTCCGGTTTAAAACGAATTTTTGAAGCTGCGTCACGGCCATGACAAAATAGCGTGTATTCCAGCGTGCAGACTGGACGTCTGTGCCAGATTGTGTCTTATTACGTCTTACAGTGTGCTGCATTAATGCATGAGTAAGGCTTGGTTCAAACCAATCAGCGCGCTCTATTGTGCAACTTCATTAATATTCATTACTGTCAGAGTGTAGACGGCAGAGACGCCACGTTGTGTTGGCAAAACAAGAGTGAAGTGTTGCTTTTATAGTTTGCTGCCATTACATTTTGTTTTAATTTTCTCTCTGTGAGAGCGCAGCTGGCGTCACGTGTGGATTAACAGTGTACGCGACGCTCAACAACAATAACTTACGTGTCTAAGGAGGATTATTGTTTACCTGAAAGCTGTTCTCATCTGCAAACGCTGAGATCCGGATTCGCTTGTAGTCTCCTCTAAATAAAGACGCGGCTCTAGTTGCTGGTGATTGTCCTGTCTCTACAGATTTGGTAAGTGAGCGACCAGTGCTCTTTGTTTATTCTGTTCGTATTTTATTCGTATCAAACAAACTATTGCATCGAGTGTAAACAAGTTAGCACTAACAGTTACAACCAAACTATAACCTCGTGCTGGATTTAGTGACCGGAATAACACACGCGGCTTTCTGACACTACCTGCCGAGTGCATCTAAGTTTCCGGGAAATGCTGAGTTTTTTTCTCTCATTCGCCGTGTGGTATCAAACATTGCATGAAAAATACACGCTTAGAGCAGCTCCTCCAATCAAATATCACATTTGTCGGGAGGGACATGAATGAATTCCCTGAATGAAAGAGCCAAACTGCAGTTAAAGTCCAACATTTAATAATTTGGCAAATAATTCGACTTTTTTCAACACAGTCACATTGTCCGCTGTGGTTGTGTGTTTTGACTCTGAAATTCAGCGCGCCCAAATAGACACTCCCACACCAAGCCTCTTTTCTTCCTCCGACACTCCCCCCTAAACAGAGCTGGACACGCCCACTTTTCTGACTTTTTCCAAAGAAGAGGTGTGAAAACACCCTGCTGAAACGAGGGGGTTTCATGGCCCTTTAAGCAAATATCTGAACCGTGTTTTTCACATAAAACCGGGTTCCCACAGCTGCTTTCTTTACGCAAGAGTCTGACGACGATAAAAGTCATTTATGGATTTTTCAGAGATTAGGCAAAAATCCCTCTTAGTCATTGAAGTTGATGTGAGGCTATACATAACACTAAAGACAAGCATTCATTCATTTATTTTCTTCAGAATAAACCACCAACTATTCCAGCATATATTTTACGCAGTGAATGCCCTTCCAGCCACAACACAGTACTGAAAAAAATCCATACAGTCTGACATTCACACACACACTCATACACTACAGCCAATTTTGTTTACCCAGTTCACTTATTGCGCATGTCTTTGGACTGTGGGAGAACCAAAAACACCCAGAGGAAACCCATGCAAACCCTTGCTCAACCAGGACTCAAACCAGCGTCCTTCTTGCTGTGAGGCGACAGTGCTAACTACAGAGCCACCATGTCGTCTAAAGACAAACATAAAATTGCTGACAGATATTTTGCAGGACTCACCGACTGAGAGGGTCGGATCCCGGAGAGAGGGGCGTAAGCCACGCGGTACTGCTGCACCTGTCCTGAGGCCGGCTCCCAGCGCACGTTCAGGGTGTTTGTGGTGGGGTTGTAAACCTGGATGTTCTTGGCAGGGGTCCGAACCACTGTTTCAGAGATGAGCGGTAAAAAGGGGACAGTAAAAGGGCTGAGTGGCTACAGTTTACAACAGATTTAATATGTACAGGTTTAAAGTTTCATAGTCAGACACTACGGAAATAAACATGTCACACATTTGGTTTTGTTTCAAGTGGTTTTTAAACTTAAAGGGACAGTACACCCAAAAAAGTTTGTGTTTCTTTCTTCTGTTGGACACAAAGGAAGATATTCTGAAGAATGTTGAAAAAAAAACACACTTTTTATTCCTACTATAATTGCCAATGGTGACTTTTTTCCCCAACAGTCATCAGAATATCTTATTTTGTGTTCAACAGAAGAAAGAGGGGAGGCGGGTGGTGAACTATGTCACTTTTGAGTTTATCAAAGGAATTCTGGGAATTATCAGGTTACATTTTGCCTAAAATCAATTGAAAGACTTCATATTTTGATCTTTTGTGCTATTTCAGTTTTATTAATTAGTCAAACACTAAAGTACTGTACAAAACACTACACTTTAATACATTTGGACATTTTTGGGTGATATTCATAGAGATATTCATACATTATTGGGTGAACTCATCCAGAAATCTGATATATATATTGCGATCTATCACACCTCCCTATGGAACTTTTTGAAACTCTACTTTTGTATACTCCAATAATCTTTATTTATTTATAACACCAAATAATCATATTTTTAATCAGTGGCTTGCTTTAATAGTAACTGTGTACAACTTTCATTAACTGAGATTAGCTGATCACAGTTTTTAAACAAAACCAACACGTTCGTCAATGTGGGAACCACAGCACTGCCGATGATGGGAATGAAACCAGCACTGGTGGAAAAACAATGACACCAACAACAACAAATAAATAAATAAATAAAGGGGCTTTCATGTTCTTGCACCTCCCTGGGTTTTCCATTTGGTGAGATAGATTGTTCGTAGGTCTCGCACCAGCATCCCCAGTCATTACAGCCCATAAAGAAGGCTCATTAAGCCCAGACTGGAGTCACATTTATGGGGTTGCCAGCACATCGGCATTCCCCCCTCAGTGATCAATCCAATAAAGCTGACTTAATCTCTGGGCAAAACCTCTCCGACTCTATTTATAGATTGAAAGCACAGCATTTTTAATGGGAAAGCCAGAAAACTGCACTTTGTGCTTTGTGGAGTGGGGAAAAAGGGGTTTCTGTCATTGGGGTTTAGATGATGGATGAGCATGGGAGATTTTTAACCTTCTACTGATGCTAAAATAAGATGAGGCTGCGTCTGGGCCTGTGCGAAATTCAATTTCGATTTCGGCCTCCAATGGCGATGAAAAAATATTCATCAAGATAAAATTATTACGTCAAAGTCCATATTTGTTCCTCCGTAAAGTGCCGTTTAACATGAAAACCAGTGGCTTTTACAAGATGGAACGTGCTTCAGTTATTGAAGTGTATTCGACTTATTCACGTTTTTAAAAATGCGAGAGAAATTTTGTCCTGTTCTGGTCACTCAGCCTCAGCCTTACACAATAAATGAATATAAAGAGTTCAGAATTAAAAGGCACACGTGAGTATAAATCAGCTCTTAAAGTGACAGTGCTATATTTCTAAAACTTTAATAAGAAACAAAACAAGTTTAATTCTTTTTCATTTGCATATTATTTATTCACTTTAATTGTTTTATTTTTTCTAAAATTGAGAACTGTTTTCTTAGTTTGTTTTGTACTTTGTAATATATATTAGGGCTTTCAAAGTTAATGTGTAAATAATGTGAATTCATCTGGTACCTGATCAGAATGCAGCACCAATTGGAAATGGTAGAGACTGAGAAAGGTACTAACTGCAAAATCATATACATAAAAATGTATGATGGCACTGTCAACAAGAAAAAAGTTTTCGATATTTATTGTCGATGTGAATAGCCAAGTGCTTCATTGCGATTTAGCCAAAATTTCCATTTCAGTGCGTCCATATAAAGCATTGTGTATCACCTGACACTGTTTTTATGCAGTTTCAAAATGCAACATTATATTCATTTAGAACAGATCAAATGTGTGATTAATTTGCCATTAATCTCGAGCTAGATTAATATACTTATGGCATAGAACTTGTAATTGATTGACACTCCTAATATATAAATATATATATATAAATATATATATATATATATATATATATATATATATATATATATATATATATATATATATATATTCATACCTGTTTTGTCATCACTTTAGACATTACGCTAGAAAACTATTAAAAACTTATAGCTCTAAATTGACGTTGATGAAATTAGCAATGATTTCTGCTGTTCTGATGTCAGCTGCGGATGTAAATGAATGGCGGAAGAAAGTAATTTGTTTTACTTTTTTATATTCATAAGTATGCAGTCGAACTGTTATATAAAAGCAATATCACAATCGTAGCAATGCGATATGGCTGTATATTATCACTGGTGAGACGCCTCCCACCATATATATATTTTACATTTACATTTACATTTAGTCATTTAGCAGACGCTTTTATCCAAAGTGACTTACAAATGAGGACAAGGAAGCAATTTTTACAACTATAAGAGCAACAATGAATAAGTGCTATAGGCAAGTTTCAGGTCTGTAAAGTCTAAGAAGGAAAGTATTAGTAGTATTAGTATTTTTTTTTTTTTTTTTGGTACAGTTAGTGTGATATCCAAAGAGGCAATTGCAGATTAGGAAGTGAAGTGGAGACTAAATAGTTGAGTTTTTAGTCGTTTCTTGAAAGTAGCGAGTGACTCTGCTGTTCTGATGCAGTTAGGGAGTTCATTCCACCAACTAGGCAGATTGAGCGTGAGCGTGAGCGAAAGTGATTTCTTCCCTCTTTGGGATGGAACCACGAGGCGACGTTCATTCACAGAACGCAAGTTTCTGGAGGGCACATAGATCTGCAGAAGTGAGAGCAGATAATAAGGAGCAAGGCCAGAAGTCACTTTGTAGGCAAACATCAGAGCTTTGAATTTGATGCGAGCAGCAACTGGCAGCCAGTGCAAACGGATGAGCAGCAGAGTGAAATGTGCTCTTTTAGGTTCATTGAAGACCACTCGTGCTGCTGCGTTCTGGAGCAGTTGAAGAGGCTTGATAAAGTTAGCTGGGAGCCCAGCTAGTAGAGAGTTGCAGTAATCCAGTTTGGAGAGAACAAGAGCTTGAACAAGGAGTTGAGCTGATATATATATATATATATATATATATATATATATATATATATATATATATATATATATATACACATATACACACACATACACATACATATACATACATACATATATATATATATATATATATATATATATATATATATATATATATATATATATATATATATTTGGGGTATCAATCAATTACAGTTTTCCCATAATCGTGCAGCTCTAACCATATGAACTCACGTGTTTTTCCGGTCTCCGACATGCGCTTGCCCTCTCCAGGAGCGTAGACTGGCACCACCGTCACTCTGTACTGAGTGTCAGATTGCAGGTTCTTCAGAACGGTGCTGGTGGTGCTTCCAGGAACCTGGACCTGAGATGACATTAAAATAACAAAATAAAAGTCTAATCTTTTCTTTTGCAAATGTCATAGTCTCAACGTGTTGCAATTTGCTATGAAAGTATATATTTGTCAATAAAAAACCCGCCGCCATGAGAGTTTTGTGCCAAAATAATGAACAAAATTTGCAAAGCATAAACAAAACTTTCTGGAATGATGATTTGACATTTTGTTTTTTAGAAAAAAAGAAAAAAGAAAGAATAAAAGAACAAAGCTCATCAGGAGAAAATCTAACACTTCTTCATTTTCAGAGTGTTTTGTGATGGTGTGTGTTTTAATGATTTCTGGAAAAGTTACACCCATTTACATCAAGCTACAGTCATTTTTTTGGCACAAACAAATACATTTTCCACCCAAAAATGTGTTTCACGGTTAAATTGACTGGTAATATAGTGATATAACAGAGCTTCAGGACGTACCATGTCCTCTGCGCCCCCTGCGACGGGCTGGTAGTAGATCCTGTACTGGCGAACGCTTCCCTCCGCCGGCTCCCAGCGCACATTCAGAGTGCTAACTGTGGGGTCAGTGACCTGAAGATTCCTGACACTGCCCAGCGGCACTATGGGAACACACACACACACACACACACACACACACACACACACACACACACACACACACACACACACACACACACACACACACAAACACACACACACACAATTAACTATATTCAGGTCTTAATTTACTCATTAACACACACAACCTGACAAACACCTTGTCACTTATCCAGGTTTTAGGAACAACCAATAATAACTTGACTTTTAGTGGATCATTTGGTATCAGAAGTGGCTTATATGAAAGACAAAGGCCTCTAGATTACACTTATTTTATCAAAAAATAAACATAATCATTCTTTGATTTTTAATGAGTTCATCAGGACAGTAAGGTTTAATCTGCTTCATTGATTTATGCTAAGCTAAGCTAAAAGTGCTCCTGCCAAACCCAGACATCGTCTGAATGGATTCAAAAATGTTAAAACTTAGGAACAGTTGAACTCTTGATAGTGGTAAAATGAGCCTGTTTCCCCAAAAATGGAGTGTTCCTATGCTGTAAATTCACATACATGTCTTTCCTTGGCCAGAAATGTCTCTGGCCTCTCCGCTGGCGTAGACCGCAGCAACAGTGATGGAGTAAGGAGTGTCTGGAGTCAGTTTCTGCAGGATCACTGTGTTTTTCTTTCCTCCGACCTGCGTCTGTGACAAAGACAATAAAAGAGTCAAATATAAGCTCCCTTGCTGATCATTCACCAGTTTATCTGGAAGTTACAAATTTGTCATCTTTGACTCATTGGATAGAGCAATTCGCGAATGTTTTATGCAATATTGCAGTTTTGCGCGAGTCTAACTTGCACCTTTGTATAGAACCATAGCTAATGAATTATTTACTTAATATGGTATTTACAATTAACTACTAGATACACAACAAAATTGCAAAACATAAATAGGTTTGCTAAATTTTCTAAATTCTGAGGGGGAAAAAGTCTTTGAAACGCTATTTTAAAATTAAGATTTAGGGCTCTATTTTGACGGTCCATGCACAGAGCGCAAAACGCAGGGCGCAAACGCTTTCAGGGCGTGTCAGAACGCATTTTTGCTAATTTAAGGACGGGAAAATTCACTTTGCACCATGGCCCATGGTCTAAAAGGGTTGAGTTTATTTTCTTAATGAACTATAGGTGTGTTTTGAGAATAAACCAATTAGAGTCTCATCTCCCATTCCCTTTAAGAGCCAGCTGCGTCACGCCAAGAGCGCATCCGCTATTTACAGGACGTAAAGTAAGTCTAAGTGGAAAAACTGAGCATTTCACAAGCAAACAGTTAACAGTTAACAGAAAACTGTTAAACAGAGCATTTACTGCGTGAAAATGAGAGATAATCGATCTACTTTCACTTTCGCTCTTGGATAGGGAAACCTTTAAGCACAGACATCAATTAGTCTATAAATAATTAATTTCGTTTGTTAAGCGCAAATATTCGTTTCAAAACTATTTCTAAATTCAGTTCTCATTTCCAGCAAACGAATAAATGAACAATAATAATGAAGTGTGCTCAAAAACCTGAGTTGTATCCTAAAACACATGCTGTGCCCCATATGGTCTAAAACCTGAAAGGTGGACAAATCTAAGCTTGTTTTTAATAAAACAAATATAAATATGGATATAATAAATAATACTGCTAATAATAATAACATTATACAAAAGCAAATTGTTATGAATGAAGTAAAAAATTCTTCCGAGATGAAGAAGGCAAAAAAAAACAGTGGTTTTCATATTTATGTAGGCTAGAAAATAATATGTTTTGTAATATTTTAATCCTTTATATTTATATTCTATATCTATTCTTATTATATCCTATATATATCCTTAATATTTAAATTTTTTCATATGTAAAGATATTTGCCTATTGCTCTCTTGAGTGTATTAAGCAGTGTGTAAGCGAGGCGCAACTCTGCGCCGGAGTTCAGACCGGGTTAGTTTTGGTCTAATTAAAAATCTATTATAGTTTCTCAAAATAGCAACGCGCCAGCAGTGCGCCTCAGAACGCCTTGCTTTTTAGACCAGAACGCCTATGGGCGCACAAATGAGCGCTAAAGCATTTGCTATTTAAACAGCGTAGCGCAACGCCTCAAAACGACTCTTGCACCAAGCTGAAACTACCAAAAGACTATTGCACCGCGCCTTGCGCCACATTGCGCCAGGTGTATGATAGGACCCTTAAAGTCAAACTTGCAAGAAAAGTATTAGTCTAAAATTGTACCTAACTCACAATTCTGATTTGAACGTTAGAATCAGCTCCATCTGACTGACATTCTCCCTCTGTATGTGTCATCATAGGGGGAAAGCCCCACCCATTAGTGACAGTCTCTTTCTCATTAGCTTAGACAGCCCTAAGTGAGAAGCAGCTGTCCGTCATTAGAGTTTTCCTCTTTTGCACAGTGGAATTTCTTACATTAGGCTCAATTTTTAAGTGTTTTCAAATCTGTTTTTAAAAGTTTCCATGAAATGAAAATAAAGTTTTTCAGATGTTAGCATGAGTATTGTTTGTTTTTAGGATTTCTATAAGCTAGTGGGCACCAAAATCCGAGTTTAGGAGATGATATAAACATGTAAAGCGTATAGTTTGTCACTTTCGGATCTACGGTTTTATTCACGTCACCACCTCATACTTCAGTTTCTCGTCAAATCGTGACCAATCAAACGCTCTCTAGTGTCTGACATGCCCCGCCCCCTTTAAGGCACTTTATATTTGATGCGCTTGAGCTCAACCGCTCTCATTGGAAGAGCATGATAAAAACTAAATGCTATTGGCTGTTTTTTAAGGGGAGGAGCTACATTATGCTCCACCCTCTCTTTGTGTTTTGACTGGGAACGTCAAAGATCGAATAAAAATGCACATTTCACAGCACTTCACGGGACCTTTAAGATATATCCCTTTACAATGGCTTTTAAGTGATTTCTTAGATTTTCTTTTACCTTTCATTATAATAGTTGTTGTCTTTATTCTTTCTTTTTTTTAATCTTTGCATCTCTGCATGTGCTTCTTCGTATGCGCTATAGAAAAGTGTAATATTATTACAACGTTAATGTATTTACGAACATGAATCAATAATAAGCACTCCATGTACAGAATAGTGCTTGTTAAAATTAGTTAACGCACTGTGAGTTAATGAACTAACTTTATTTCTATTAACCACCACTAACAAAGATAAATAAACACTGTAATAAACGTTTTGTTCATGATTGGTTCATGTTAGTAAATGCATTAACTAATGAACCTTATTGTAAAGTGTTACCAAAAGTGTAATATTATTACAACATTAATGCATTTACTAACATGAATCAATAATAAGCACTCCATGTACAGAATAGTGCTTGTTAAAATTAGTCAACGCACTGTGAGTTACTGAACTAACTTTATTTCTATTAACTACCACTAACAAAGATAAATAAACACTGTAATAAACGTATTGTTCGTTATTTGTTCATGTTAGTAAATACATCACTATCATTAACTAATACCACCTTATTGTGAACTGTTTTTCGTTATTTAGTTCACCCCGATTTGGGAGAATACTTGCGTCGGTCACAGATATAGAGCTTTCGTAAACCCGGAAAGGTTCCTTTAAATAATCTTAGCCAATCTTCAGCACATCACAAATATGACTGCAGATAGGAATGTTTTTCAGTGAAGCGAACCACTGTGCAGTTTTATGCTGTTATTCCTGTCGCCAGCGTAAATCTGCCTTCATGATGAGGAAAACAGGGGCTGGAAGATGACTTTAGGACAGAAAAACAACACCTCTGCGCTCATACCAGGAGAACATGGAAAATAATAAGACGATGGTTGATCCTGGAGGCAAAAACAACCCAAAGTAGCTCCAGATCTGTTGGATTGACAGTGGTTTTGGGAAAAGTGGGAATCTAGGAGAGCAGCTGAACCTTTACTCTCCATTCACTCGTTGCTGTTTGAGTTATTAGTTGTTAAGAAGATATTTTGAAGAAAGCTGGAAACCTGTAGCCATTAAACCTCATACTTTTTTTTGCTCTGCTGAATTGACATGGGTTTTAGGGAAAAGTGGGAATCTAAGAGAGCGGCTAAACCTGAAGAATCACATGCCACCTCACCTGTACTCCACACAGCTGTGTTTATTCCATTAAAAATACAGGAGTAAAATGTGACATTATTGCTGGATTATTTTCCATCAGACTATATTAAATTGCAGTTTATTCCAATTGTGCTGATTTGATCTTATTTCTATTATTATACTTTTTAAAAGAGTTGAAAGAAGGGATAGTTCATCCCATTTTGTTATCATTTACTTTCCATTTACACTCGTCGGCCACTTTATTAGGTACACCTGTCAAACTGCTTGTTAATGCCAATTTCTAATCAGCCAATCACATGGCAGCAACTCAATGCATTTAGGCATGTAGACATGATCGAGAGGATCTGCTGCGGTTCAAACCGAGCATTAGAATGGGAAAGAAAGGGGATTTTAGTGACTTTGAAAGTGGCATGGTTGTTGGTGCCAGACGGGCTGGTTTGAGTATTTCAGAAACTGCTGATCAACTGGGATTTTCACACACAACCATCTCTAGGGTTTACAGAGAATGGTCTGAAAAAGAGAAAATATCCAGTGAGCGGCAGTTCTTTGGGCGCAAATGCCATGTTGATGCCAGAGGTCAGAGGAGAATAGCCAGACTGGTTCCAGCTGATAGAAAGGCAACAGTAACTCAATCTTTTTATGACCACAGTGTACCCATCTACTGATAGCTACTTCCAGCAGGATAACGCACCATGTCATAAAGCACAAATCTTCTCAGACTGATTTCTTGAACATGGCAATGAGTTCACTGTACTCAAATGGCCTCCACAATCACCAGATCTCAATCCAATAGAGCACCTTTGGGATGTGGTGGAACAGGAAATTCGCATCATGGATGTGCAGTCGACAAATCTGCAGCAGCTGTGTGATGCTATCATGTCAATACGGAGCAAAATATCTGAGGTAAATTTCCAGTAGCTTGTTAATTATATGCCACGAAGGATTAAAAAAGTTCTCTGGGGTCCAACCCAGTACTCGTAAAGTGTACCTAATAAAGTGGCCGGTGAGTGTACATGTTTCTTTTTCAGCTATTAGTTGTTGAAGACAACTGCAAACCTTTAGCCATTGACGTTCATATTTTCCTACTATGGAAGACAATGTTTACAGGTTTTCAGCTTTATTCAATATATCATCTTTTGCGTTTTTTTATAATCACATGAGGGTAAATAAATGAGTACATTTTCATTTTTGAACTATCCTTTTAATGTTATTTCATTAATTATAATAGTATTTTCTTTGACTATTTATTACTTAAAGTTAATTATTGCATCTCAGATCAATGTTTTGAGTCTAATCAAGCTTTATTCTGCGGCTGAATGTACTTTATCCTTTATATGAGACATGAGCTGTTAGTGGTCGGGAGTGATTAATTTAATTTACTGTAATACTGTCAAGATAACATGAATATTAAAATGTTATTTACCGACTGTGATCGTCCTCCAGTAAGCGGTACGTAGGTGATTTTGTAGTTCTGAACTCGTCCAGGCGCGTGGTCCCACTTAGTCGTGAGGGAGGTGGTGGTCTCGTCGAACACCTGGAGGTTTTGAGGAGGACCACTGGGAGCTGCAGGACAAAAAAAAATAAATCAACATCTCAGTTTTTTATTCTAATAAATTATTATACTCAAGAGTATTAGAGTTTTTGTCTTGTTTCTATTCCAAACATTTAAAAACTCTTAAATCAAGGAGCATTTTTTTAGACAAGTAAAACGTAAGGCATGATGTCAAAATAACATCAAATTGACATTGACAAGCACAGGTCAAAAATGCTAATTGTTTTTGAGTCAAAACACTGATGCCCATTTGTCACCGACTCGGTCCCAGTCACTCCCCTCGCTGGCCAGCAGAGGCCACCATCTCCGGACTTCTAAGCATTACATCATCCACTTACACTGATCCAGCACACCTGAACTGAATCCCGTTAATGACCCACATACCCTTTATAAGCTGCACTCAAACACTCAGTCTTTGCGAAGCCTTGTTCAGCCCCGGCCAGCATTACTGAGCGTTATATCCTGCCTGATCTCCTGTGTATTACTCCAGCCCGTTTCTGACTCTGCTCTGCCTTCTGACTGCCCACGACCCAAGCCTGATACACGGACTCTGATACTCGCTGCCTGCCCTTGATCCAAGCCTGATACACGGACTCTGAATCACGCCGCCTGCCTCTGACCCATGCCTGGTAAATCACTCTGTGTCTGTCAGCCGCCAGCCTTAAGACCTTTATTACTATTGTTGTTGTGTGTTCGCACCTTTGTGCGTGTTGATTGTTTGAGTGAAAGTGTGACTAATAAATACTGCATAATGGATCCCTCCGTGTCAGTCTCCCCGTTACACCATTTGACATCCACACACTAATGGCCTTTTGACCATCAAAATAACAATACAAAACGTATTATAATAAAAACAGTATTTTACCCTTGTGAAAGCTTCAGTTCCAAAAGACAAATATATACGGTAACACTTTACAATAAGGTTAATGCATTTACTAACATGAACTAATCATGAACAACACATGTACAGCATTTATTAATCATAATTGAACATTTACTAATGAATTATTAACATCCAAGTCCATGCTTGTTAACATTAGTTAATGCACCATGAGTTAACATGAACTAACAATGAACTACTGTATTTTCATTAACTAACGTTAACTAATATGAACAAATACAGTAATAGATGTATTGTTCATTGTTTGTTCATGTTAGTAAATGCATTAATTAGCGTTAACTAATGAACCTTATTGTAAAGTGTGACCTTACATACTGTATAATTTTCTACAATGTTTGTAATCGACATTGATGCCAAAATAACATCAAATTGCCATCAAACATTAGTGTGAAACAACACACCAAAATCACTGTGTCACAATCACCAGCGAACTAGCCTGTTCAGATCGCTGGAGAACTAAAATATGCCCCTTTAATGAACTACAACTCCCAGAAGTATTTGCACGCACACACCAGTTCCTGATTCCTCCTGATTACACACACAGCTGGAGGCTCATGAGGGATTGTTCAAATTTAATTTGTTTAGCCTTGCCATGTTTTTGAACCTTGCCTCGTTTATTGCTTTCCGTTGTCCTGCCGCCTGTCACAAACATTTGCCAGTACTTTGACTACACTTTTGGATGTACTGCATGATCCTGTTTGACCATTGCCTGCCTGACGATTCGGTTTAATCGGTTTAAACTCTGTTGTCCCTGATTCATTACAATGCCAATGCTAGATGGGAATTTGACATTTTGACATCAAGGTTGTGAAATTGATTCCTTTTTTTTGACTTAAGTCGTCAAAATGAAGCAAGTTTTTTTTCTCAAAACAAGCAAGATAATCTAGCAGTGCGTTGATTAAAATGATCGTATTTCAAACCAAAAACAAGATTGTTTTACTTACCCCATTTGCAGATTATTTGCTTGTTTTAAATGTGACCTATTATGCCAACCCTATTTAGGCTTTGATCCAAACTGTGGCATTTTTGTGACTGTCGCTTTAAATTCACATGAGTATTTAATTAAAGACTGATGCTTTCAGTCCTTTTTTCAAAAGTGGGCAGAGTTACAAATGCCCATGTGACAGATTAAACACAGAATTAACGTTATTCATTCATTAATTTTCCTTTGGCTTAGTCGCTTTATGCATCAGGGGTTGCCACAGGGGAATGAACCACAAACTTATCCAGCATATGTTTTACACAACAAATGTCCTTCCAACTGCTACCCAGTACTGGGAAACAGTCATACACACTCATTCACACACACATGCACACACACACACTCATACACTACAGCCAATTTAGTTTATTCAATTCACCTATAGCGAATGTGTTTGGACTGTGGCGGAAACCACAGCACCAAGGAAACCCACGCAAACACAGGGAGAACATGCAAACTCCACAGAGAAACGTCAACTGACCCAGCCGGGACTCGAACCAGAAACCTTCTTGCTGTGAGGCAACAGTGCTAACCACTGAGCCACCATGCCACTCTAGAACTAACGTTATCTCTGTGGAAAACCTGAAAATGTCAGAATAATAATATCCTAATACTCTACATTTCAAGAGTTCACATTTAGATAATGCTTGACGATTTAAGCAAGTTTGGCATGCTATCCCGGGAGAGAACCCTGAGCTCGGAGATAGATGAGCCCAAGGCTCCCACCTGGTCAATAAGCAGTAGGAGTGATATGAGATCAGGTAGTTCTCGAAAACTTCCCAAATAGACAGCTAACTGCGCTAGCTTGTAGTAAGTGCTTCTGACTTTAACTTTCGTTGCATGGAAAACCCACGCGAACACATGGAGAACATGCAAACTCCGCACAGAGAGTGTCGGTTGGCTCAGCTAGTATTTGAACCAACGACCTCCTTGCTGTGGGGCAACAGTGCTAGCCACTGAGGCATCGTGTCGCCCGAACTTAGATATGAGGAGGAGGGAGAAGGGACGGATGGGGGGTGGGGGGTGGCGGTGGGGCATTCCCAAACGAACATGAGAAATGAAGTTTAGGCTGGATATTTATATTGGATTTAGAATGATCCGATTGGCTAGTTAGTGATTAGTGATGGTGATCAGCTGTAGTCAATCCTATCACGTGCTCCTCTCGAAATTAGTTTAAGAAACTTCACTTATAATCCTCTCAGTCGCTAACATTATCTTCAGCATGTACGGAGTAAAAACTCATTTAAAGTGTTTCTGTTTTTATCAAGTCTGATTATATAAAATAAAATGAATACATGTTTACAGTTATACTATGGTTATATGGTTACATTCCCAAGTTATATCGTTATATTCCAAAACTGCTGCCCTTATAAAAGTGTTTTTGCATAATAGGCCCCCCTTAAGGAATTTTTATTTAATTTATTTATTGCTTATTTCTGAAAACAAAACAATATTTTATACTTGTCTAAAAACTGCGTCATGATTAAAGAATCTTTGAATATTTGGACTAGAAACTAGACAGAAACTCAGAAAGTTTTTTGTACTCACGTGGTGTAGCAAGCTTGGCCACTGCAGTCAGGAGGATACAGAGAGACAACAAAGGGAGAGAAAGTTAGTCAAATTCATAGAAGAACTGTAAATAAGAGCATTATTTATACAGTGTAATTTCATACAAGTGCGTTCAGTGCCCAGCAGATCCTCGCTCTCAGACTCATCAGGGTAAATGGCAGTGACCGAAACATCATAAGGTGTGTCTGGCTCCAGGTCCACCAGATCATATGTAGTGTCTTCACTACTCAGGATATCCTGAAGAAGAGAAAATGAATTAAATACACAATGTATACATCAACCAAACATCCACCTCACAGCCGAATGTTACCATTTACCAGTACTGAGATACACACATGCAAGTACAATTGCTAGATATTAACAAACACAGACTGAGATGCGTTTCCTGAACAATGACGTAACTTGCGGCTGAACTATCATAGTATGATGCATCGCTTGGGAAAAGAACGATTTAGTGAGAAGTGTTTCCCAAAACTCTAGTAACTTATTGTTGCAGATCCATTGTTTGAACCACATTAGTTATAATTAGGCCCACACGGAATCTGCGCGCACAGAATTCCGCAGATTTTCAACATAATTCCGCAGATTTCTGCACGTTTTTAGCCCATTATTAATTCTGTTTATTTACTTGAGTAAATGTGTAAATCTGAATTTATTCAGTTTTTATTCAGTAATTTATTACTTTTTATTTAATATATTAAGGTTTTAGTTATGATACTCCGCTGGATACTCCCAAAATAATTCCGCAGAAATCCGCAGATTTTTACCAAAGTTCTCCGCAGAAATAGCAAAAAACATCCGCAGATTCCGTCTGGCCCTGGTTATAATGTAAAACGCCCATAATGGCGCTCTAAACAGGGCGGAGCAGCTTAAAATCCTTTTAAAGCAAATTACACCTAAGAGAGATGATTAAATATTAAGTCATTCCAAGTTTAAATGCTGGAATGTTCGAAATGAACAGGGCTCAGTGGGATAACTGGGAATAGAACACAACCAACACACTATGCTTCTAACTACAGCTCTAGCTGTAGTTGCCAGCGTAGAAGTTTGCGATGCAGTTTGTGAATTTTCATTGGAATGACGGATTTGGGAAATGCCAAATCAACGAACTATGTTTGTAATGACGGTATTTGCCACCTGGCAAACAATGGTTTTCGAAAAACGCACTGCTTATCAGTTCACTCAAAGATAAAATCCTGTCATTTACTCATCTTCTACTTGTTCCAAACCGGTTTAAATTTGTGTCTTCTGTTGAACACAAAGGAAGAACTTCTAGAACTTCTATATTCAGCTGCTTAGACACAAACTATACATAGAAATAAACATGAACGGAATTGGAACTGGAAGACATGCTGGATTGCTGGGAATGTTAAAGAATGCTGAAGAATGCTTGGGAAGAAAAGCGCCATTGTCTTCCTTACTATCTTTTATTCCTACTATGGATGACAACATTCTGTAGAACATATAGTTTTCTGTTCGTTTAGATTCACTCGAGTGTGAATAATTGAAGAGGAATTTTTGCATTTTTAAGTGAACTAAGCCATGAACATATTGTTTATACCATCTATAAATCTAACAATCAGGATATTCCTGGAAATATATTGAAATCCTAAATAAATTAATTTATTAGGAATTATATTAAAAGTCAAGTTCTTAGCATGTCTTAGTGAATCAGACTAGAGGTCTGCATCCCCGTGGCTGTCCCGCAGGACCCGACCGGATTTCTACGGCGCGGGAATAAATTTCCGAATAAAGCGCGAGAGCGGTCGGTAATGGGTTTAATTTGGGACGGGAGCGGTCCGTCTAGCAATATCCCAAGCGAGCATGCGTATGTATGTGTGTAAATGAAATAGCGCGATGCTGTGTTTAGCTTGTTTGTTGCTGTGTGTGTATGTGTGTGTGTGCGCACGCGCGAATGAGAGGTGCGTGTGTGCTTGCGCGAATGAGAGAGAGAGATTTGCCTGTGTGTGTGCTTGGTGCTTATGTGTGTGTGTTTGTGCGTGTTAGTGAGCGAATGAGAGAGAGAGCTTTGTCTATGTGTGTGTGCTTGGTGCTTATGTGTGTGTGTGTTTATACAGACAGCTTGTTATAGGCTGTCTGGACTCTGTATAGCTGGGTGGTTTTCAGTTTTGTTCTCCCCCCCCACTCTTTAGCGGGATCGGGTGCGGCGGGTAGAAAACGGGGCGGGTTGGGCAGCGGGACAACAAATGCTGAATGTAAGCGGGAGCGATCGTGTTTGGGCTAAAACCTGGCGGGTGCGGGCAGGAATGGGATTCAAAATTTAGTCCCGCGCAGATCTCTAAATCAGACCTGAGGTTCAGTCTCTTACATTTTGAAACTCGGTCGTTCCTTTCTTTTTCCAGCCAATACGGTAGAGGGAGACATCAGGAGCGCCGTGCTCCCAGTGAACCCTAAAACTGGTCTGGGTCACCATCGAGAACCTCAAGTTCTGCGGGGCAGGAACCACATCTAAAAGAGAAATTGATTTACAAAATCATCCAACATGTAGAAATCCAAAGCTTATCACAATCAAAGTCAGCTTTATAGTCAAATGTGCCACATCAGACGCAGGGTGCATACAAATAACAAAAACACCACAAGATGAATGTAAACATACTATAAATGCAAATAATTTTCTGAGAAATTAACTGCTCAACAGTGCTCAGTATAATTCAGCGCACCCCATTTTAAAAATTAATATTTCTATCCATTTCTCAATGATGATAGATCATAAATGTTGGTGCATTCGAACAAAACTGATTTATTCAATGGATATACTTATTAAAATAATATTTTAGTCACCAAACATCTTTAGAAATAGAAGGATAACACAATTAAATTCGAGCTAATGATTGAAAAAAAAATTTTTCAACAAAATTTTATGCATTTTTTTCTCTATTAATTTTTTTTCTAACATGTACATTTGGCTGTACTAATTTTAGACCATTACCATTAATTATTTTCTTAGATTAGCTCCAGATTTGGCTTCAGTACTGACTAATCTAATGTATATGCACAAATATAAGATTGTAAAGCATCCTATAGACCAGGGATCACCAAACTTGTTCCTGGAGGTCCGGGCTGCGTCCGAAACCACATACTTCCATACTATATAGTACGCTAAAATCAGTATGCGAGCTGAGTAGTATGTCCGAATTCATAGAATTCGAAAAACAGTAGGCGAGAAGTACCCGGATGACTTACTACTTCCGGCGAGATTCTGGAGTGCGCATCCCATGCTCGCTGCGCTATCCTATGATGCCCCGCGAGAGAATTCATGAATAGGAGTAAAGCGACACAAACTATGCAGGTTCGACACGTGACTATATCAAAATGGCAGATGTAGTACGTCTAAACTTCATTCATACTTTTCACTTTCATACTGTATAAAATGTACTTTTCTAACGGCCGAGAAGTACGTTTAAATACAAATGCAGTACCTACTGAGTAGTAGGCGGTTTCGGACGCAGCCCCGGTGTCCTGCAGATTTTAGCTCCAACCCTAATTAAACCCACCTGAACAAGCTAATCAAGGTCTTACTAGGTATAATTGAAACACCCAGGCAGTTGTGTTGAGGCAAGTTGGAGCTAAACCCAGACCTCCAGGAATGAGATAGGTGGCCCCTGCTATAGACAATATTAATTTAAAATGAGAGATTTGTGAGGGGTGTACTCATATATGTTGAGCACTGTATGTACAAATAAAGGCGCATAGCAAGTGTGCAATGCAACGAAACCTTGATTATTAAAGAGCTATTTTTACAGTATATAATACTAATATGAGGTATTGTCAATGCAAGAGGCTTGAGGAAGATTACCTGTAATGGCCTGGTTAAGCATGGGGTTTCCAGTGCCCGAATCATAAACCGGAGTCACAGCCACATCATATTCAGTCTGGGAGATGAGATTATCCAGGCCTCTAGATGTTACATCTCCGTCAACTTCAAGCTGAATTCAATACACAGAAACAGGAGGTCAAGGATTGGCTGGTAAACCTCAGCAGATAACAAGATTATAAAAGAGAATCTGTTACTGATTCCAAATTACATGATGAAAAATGTATCAGATAAACAATTTGGATAACATAATAGCCCCTTTCACACAGTGATACCGGTAAATATCCGGAAAATTTCCGGAACGACTTTACCGGTATATTCAAAAAAGCGCTGTTCACACAGGCGAGGACATAACAGAAATTTTCCGGAAAAGAGCGTTCACACATCCATTCCAAAATACCGGTAAATTCTGACATCATTTACCACAAATGAGCTTTAAACGGCTGCGCTTGTATTTGTAAACATTTGACTAAATTACAAACTCTGTGGATGATCAATATTGTGAACAACTTTCGCAGGATCACTTTCGCATGTCGAGATGTTCATAATATGTGCGTGTGCAGGCGCTCACAGGCTGTTTCACAAGCACACGCAAAGCTTGAAGGTAAACAAACAACGGCTTATCATAAGCATCTCATCGATGATTATTTTCACAGTTGGCATTAAGAAGAACATATAAACATGATCTGACTAACTTCTAGCAGCTAAATGTGTCTGGAAAAATATTCAAAGGCTTTTATTCTCACAAGCCGCGCGGACGTAAATGCGTCTGACTGTTGTGATTGGCTAAAGCAGACGTTTCACGTCAGCACATTCTAGACGTGCACGCGCTTATTACGGCAATCTTCCATCTGCATTCACACAGCGCAGCATTCCGGTAAATTGCCGGTAATGTTACAACTTCTCTTTCCGGAAAATAGCCAGAACGAATTTACCGGTATTTTCAAAAAGGACCTGTTCACACATACAACCTGGCAATTTTCCGGAAAGGTCTGTATGTGTGAAAGGGGCTAATATCACCCTTATTCTTAACGTATGAGCGGGTGCAGCCATTGGACTCTTTTTGGCTCGAGACTTCCAGTCTCATTCACTTCCATTGATTTTAAGGCATTAAAAACAGATCGTTATGCTCATACAATCTGATGTTTTCTAATTGCACTATTCTATTTTTTATGTATAGTCATGTATCTATAATCTACAATTGTCACGATCACCAGAGATCAAAACTCCATGGATCGCTGGAATACACTCACAATCACTTACGGACTATTTTTGGACTACAACTACATACATGCACTCCGCTCACTCACACATGTTATTTCTAGTCCTATATAGCAAGTCCAGAGAAAGTTGTGTACACCATGATTTTATACATAAGATTCACTTTAAATTGTGATATGACTAAAAAGTGGTCATAAAAAAATAGCGGTGTTAAAATTAATTGTTTATTCAGTGCACTGTGATGCAGACGCAGACAATTCTGTATCGGTTCAGTAATAATCATAACCGGTTATTGTGTACTGACGTCTTTTATCTCATATGCGCTATGTCGCTGTAGATACTATGGCGAGGGAGGCGAGCGCGAGTATTTACAACGCTCCAAATACTTAAAAAACGCAGAAACTGTGCACAATTTCACTGCGTGTGTTTGCTGCAGTCTTTCACTGACACTTATAGCAGAAGCCAATATTTCACTGCGATTGATTGATTCCTTCATTGTGCTGGTACATTTTGGTTTCACTTTGATTATTTTGTCTGTTTGTAGCCTATGTCGCTTATAATAAATTAATAGTAGGATATCACTCTTGTCACCCACACCACTGTGCATCAGCATTAAGGCCCTGGTAAAGTTCAAACTGAATCGAACTAAAATGACATCATTACAAACACAATCGCGCCAAAACAAAGTTCACTGTGAGTTCGTTTTCTCACCAAAAGCAAACATATCAGGGAATTCGTTTAGGCTCCTAAACACCTTTGAGCTGCCATTGGTCTGTGGCGATTATGCCTTCAGTGGGTTTGTTTTGGAGCTCCGCCTTCTTTGCCATACGACTGATTCGTATCTCAAATCCACAGAGGTCAGACAGAAGAACAAAATCCAACACAACAACATGATGTAAGGAACATGAAGAAATGGGAGGGTTGAGAAGCAGAGCTATCCGCACCTGTATGATCGCTAGCGGACAGATTTTAAAAACTCCGAGGAGGTTTGGACAAGAAGTGCCAAAGTGTTGAGCCTGTCTTCGAAAGTTCTATTCCATTAGTTTTCCTTTAGCATAGTCCCTTATTTATCAGGGGTCGCCACAGCGGAACAAACCGACAATTATTCTGGCATATGCTTTATGCTTCATTCACACTAGTAGCGACTTTGTAGCTGTCTGTCGCTCTGGCTGGTGATCTGCTGCAAACACAGGTCTGTGTAGGTGTACAGCAAGGAGAAAACTCTCTGAGCGAGCTGAGAGAGGATCATGTACTCCTATTGGCTGCCGCTCAAGAAAGTCGCTCTTCATTTGCATAGTTTTCACGGATTCTCAACTTCGTCGTGACGCTCGATACTCCAACCTGACCTCCAAGAGTTGCTGTCACTCGAGTAGACAGAGGTCGCCGGAAGTACCATTCAAGTAGCAAATAGAAAACAATGTAAAGATGTGGCATGCTGCGTCTTGTACACAAGGCTGTTTGTCGGATGTTTCTGAAACTGTTCTTCTCTCTCAGCCACCAATTATTTTGTGTAGCGGAGCACATGAGCAGCATGACACATTCACAACCCCACCTACTGCAGAACAGGGCTGTCGTAAGGTTTGAAAACCCTATCAAACTCCCTTTTGAAGTCAAATGAAGTACAAAAAAACTTTCTTCGAAGGATATCAGAACCTTTAAAAACTCAATGAACTGTTCTCTCAAGGAATTATAGATCTCTTCTGGCAACATTCAGTGTTTGGTTAGCCAACAAGTTAATAAATGCTAGACAGAAGTTGATAATCGGAGAAACAATGGAGTCTCGAATAACACTTTGAGGTCCTGCAGAATCAGAGCTTATCTTTGATCTAGAGGCATCTCATCTTCATCTGTAGGTAACAGGAGCTGCCGCCATCTGTCAGCCTTCTCAGACGTCCATCCACCTGGGTCCACATTCATCTGCGTGTTTGTTTCATCTTTTCATCCCACATCAAAGAGTTATGAGCAGAACCGAGTCGTGATTAATGCATCAGGATGTGGAGCAGCACTCGGGCCAAAACTGCCACTGAGAGCTTTTTCAAAAAAATCATAGAAAAAAAAATTCACACCCATAAAACACGTATCCCAAAGCTCTGGATTGCTGCGTGCCACTCAAAACTCCATCTTTTTTTTTTTTGGTCGGTCTGTTATCGCAATCTTTGGATGGATGATTGCTGTAACCGAGGCTCTGGAGAGCAGCTGTACTCTCTCGGCAGCTGCCGTCTCCACTGACTTGTGTAACGTAATTGCTGATATGTTAAAAGGTCCCAAATCCATCAACATCTTGGTTGTCTGCCTGGACGCATTGTGTAAACAGACAGGAATCTTTCCTCAGGAAGGCTTCTGCTGTGACCCAGGAAGACTTTGGGTATTTGAAAACAAGACTGTTGTTCAACAGATGATAAGCTGTTCACACAATTAATCTCAAGCGTAGTGCTACTCAACACATGGACGATATTGTGCGTGTGAGGGGTTTTTTTTAGTCCTGGAAGTTGTGATATTAGAGTGGAACTGCATGGAACTTTTTTTTGAAAGGACACCAGAGTGTAATGGTCAAAATCTAAACCCTGAATTGACTATAAAAGAATTTTATCAACCTCATTCATTCATTTATTTTCTTGTCGGCTTAGTCCCTTTATTAATCCGGGGTCGCCACAGCGGAATGAACCGCCAACTTATCCAGCAAGTTTTTTACGCAGCGGATGCCCTTCCAGCCGCAACCCATCTCTGGGAAACATCTACACACACACATTCACACACACTCATACACTACGGACAATTTAGCCTACCCAATTCACCTGTACCGCATGTCTTTGGACTGTGGGGGAAACTGAAGCACCCGGAGGAAACCCACGCGAAGGCAGAGAGAATATGCAAACTCCACACAGAAACTGAAGTTCGAACCAGCGACCCAGCGACCTTCTTGCTGTTAGGCGTCAGCACTACCTACTGCACCACAGCCACTGACTTTACGGTCGGTTCCTTTTGAACGCCCCCTGTCGTTTTAAAGAATATTACAATGACGAATTCGTCAAATATAAAAGGCTCGTCAGTTTCGTGAGGTGCGCGCACAGTCAGAGGTGTGCTATGTGGCGCCAGGCGAAAGTGTAAATCAGCCTTAAAGGGTCGTGAAACACCAAAACACATTTTTTGAGCCGTTGACAGTCGTATATGTGTCCCACACTGCTAAAAACACTATTAGGACACATATATCTCACAAAAATGGGAAAATTGGTTGTTTTTGCGTTATTTCGAGCAAATTTGTACTTCCAGATTGAAACAAATTTTTGAAGCTGCATCACGCCATTAGATCTTAGCGTGTACTCCAGCGTGTAGACTGGACGTCTGTACCTGGGAGTACCTTATTAGGTGTTTGAGTGTGCTGCATTCATTCATGAGTAAGACTTGGTTCAAACCAATCAGCGCGCTCTATTATGCAACTTTATTAATATGCATGCAAGCTTCGAAGACTGTACCTGAAACAGTGTTCAGACGGCAGAGAGACGCCACGTTGTGTTGCCAAAAGAAGTGGGAAAAGAATAAGAATTGTTTGGAGATACGGGTCGTCAGTGTTGCTTTTATAATGTGCTGCAGTGAAGGTTTTGTTTTCATTTTCCAGCTATGAGAGCGCTGCTGGACTCAGGTGTGGACACAGCTCCACTGTGTTGATTGTCCTGTCTACAGATTTGGTAAGTGTGTCCGATCAGCGATCAGCGATTTCTTTGTTCATTCAGATGGCAAAGTTATAGTTGGTATGGTCAGCAGTACTTTTACAGTGTTTAAAGACAGACCTTGGTCAAAATGATTTCTAAGATACTTAGTTTACGTTAACATCACTACAATATTATGGACTGAAAGATCTGTTGTAAATGCTGCTCTCAGAGTGTCAACATGAACACTGCAAGCAAACTATTACCGATCGTCATGTTGAATTTTCGCCGCATTTTGTGACAGAATAGCCTACACACACACAGCTTTCTGACCCACCGAGTGCATCTGAGGTTTTTTTCTCTTATACGATGTGCGGTATCAAACATTCCACCATCATTAAACACAGTCACTGTCTTTCTCCTCTGCAAGTGTGTTTGTTTTGCCTCTGTGAAAATCAGGCGTGCCCAAATCGAAACTTATATTTTTATTCAAATCCTTCTCCTTTTCCCTCCTCCGACACTCCCACATAAACAGAGCTAGACACACCCACTTTCCTGTATGATGAATCTAAACCAGGTGTGTCCAAACTCTGTCCTGGAGGGCCGGTGTCCTGCATAAACACACTTGTCTTGAAGTTTCTAGTATACCTAGTAATAACTTGATTAGCTAATTCAGGTGTGTTTAATTGAGGTTGGGACTAAACTATGTAGAACACCGGCCCTCCAGGACCGAGATTGGACACCTCTGATCTAAACTAATTTCTATAGTTCAAACAACTCTGAATTATAGCAGAAAGCGACTGGTATAATGGACCACGTATAAAAAAAAGTACTCAAGTTTAAATCAGACTTGGGCTCATAATTACGGTTAATGTGGAGGACCAGGTCAGGCTCGGACACAAGTTGAGCCTGTGCTGGTTCATTTGTTTGAAATGACGTCACAAAAGTATATTTTCTAAGACATTAAGAAGCACAAAGAAAAGAAGACAGCACTTCAAGAGTTCGCCCTTAGCTGATGATTGATCATAAAGCTTGTTTGGCATGCTGTCCCGGGAGAGAGCCCTGAACATGTGAGATCCTCGAGCCCGGGGCTCCCCCCGTTGCAGGGGGAGAGGGAAGTCCGAGTTCAGGTATATCCTGCTTGATAATGTTGGAAGTAGAATAAAATGCTAGGAAGTGTCTATGCTGTCAATTTAGATTTGTCAATATACTTATGTTACATGTTTTTGGTCTGTGGGAGGAAACCGGAGAGCCCCGTGAAAACCCATGCAAACACGAGGAGAACATGCGAACTCCGCACAGAAACGCCGACCTGGCCAGGTAGAGTCCGAGCCGATGGCATTCTTGCTGTGCGACTGTGGTGCTAACCACCAGGCCTCCATGCTGCCCTGACAAGGAAATGGGAGGAATAGGGGTGGAAGTGGGATTCTTCAAGACGAAGATGGTTGAGGTAAGATACTCTGGTTATTTATAGTGGTTAAGGAGTCATCTGATTAGTGAATCAGGATTAGCCAATGTGGACCAGGTGCTATCAATCATAAGCGCGTACTCCTCTCGAAATTAGTTTATAAATAAACTTCACTTAAACACTTAAAAGAGCACATTTCCTTTGAGATACAGTCAATAGGACACATGATCTGTGAGTTTGTGTTGTGTTTGTGGTCTAACCTCCTTCGCCTCTCCCTCCTCTGGCTTGTAAGTGATGATGTACTTTCGGACGGCGCCGGGCGCAGCGTCCCAGTCCAGCTGCATGGTGCTGTGGGTCACATCGGTAATCCTCAACTCACCGGATGGAGGAAGAGGCACTAAGGAGAGAGCGGAAATACAGAAGAAAAAACAAAACAAAAAACAGAAACAATGAGAGTCTGACAGGCGAGCAGAACACCCTGCTGAGGGGAAGAAAACCCTACTGCCACCTACGGGTCACCCCTTGATCAATCAGAGGTTCACTGGCGTAATCGCCGTGCAGGGCGAAGAGCGAAACACTGTAGGCCGTGTTGGGGAGAAGTTTCTTCAGCTGGACGTCAGTGACCATTCCTTTCACTCGCATCTGTGAAGGTCAACCACACCACACATGAAAGGAAGGCTGCACTCGTGAAAAAGCATATTTGATGGAACAAATCACTTTGCTGCCCTGCTGGAAAGACCAGATCTGATTTGGACCAGCACGATTTTATAAAACAGATGTCGATGCGTTGAGGCTTGTAATGGCAAATTAATTTCTTCCTGTTCGCTAAAACTGAATAAAGTCAGACAAAATCCCCTCTCACACAGTGATACCGTAAATATCTGGAAAATTTCCGGAACGACTTTACCGGTATATTCAAAAAAGCGCTGTTCACACAGGCGAGGACGTTACGGAATTTTTCCGGAAAAGAGCATTCACACATCCTTTCCAAAATACCGGTAAATTCTGACATCATTCACCACAAATGAGCTTTAAACGGCTGCGCTTGTATTTGTAAACATTTGACTAAATTACAAACTCTGTGGATGATCAATATTGTGAACAACTTTCGCAGGATCACTTTCGCATGTCGAGATGTTCATAATATGTGCGTGTGCTGGCGCTCACATGCTGTTTCACAGACACACGCAAAGCTTAAAGGTAAACAAACAACGGCTTATCATAAGCATCTCATCGATGATTATTTACACAGGTGGCATTAAGAAGAACATATAAACGTGATCTGACTAACTTCTAACAGCTAAATGTGTCTGGAAAAATATTCAAAGACTTTTATTCTCACAAACCGCGCAGACGTAAATGCGTCTGACTGTCTGAAAATAGCCAAAACGAATTTACGGGTATTTTCAAAAAGGACCTGTTCACACATACAACCTTTGTTGTATGTGTGAACAGTATTGCCGGCAATTTTCCGGAAAGTTCTGTATGCGTGAAAGGGGCTAAAGTTTGTCTTTTAATAGCTTTAATTCTCCGTCGAATGATCAGTTTACACACAAACAGCTTCTATAAGCAAAAGCATCCCAAGGATGGACTCACAGGAATTTTGAAAGACAATGTTACAATGTTTTAGATAGGAATTTCTCTACAGCTCCTTCATTCTTTAACAATCATTGTAATAGCCCAATGCATTTAATGTTTACTTTAACAAAACCTTAAACAATTATCAATATCTAATGGCCCGTTTCCATTGACTGGTACTGGTTGTATGCTTTTTAAATCCATTTCCACTGTCAAAATATAGCAAAAAGCGAACCGCACCACTTATTTTGGCTACCCTTTCCAAAGGGTACCTAGCACAACAAAAGGGCACCAAAAGGCGGAGCTAGATGCGCAGCTGAACGCTATTGGTTTGCAGAGAAATGTCTTTAGCGCTTGCACAAGCCTGGAGAATAAAAACAAAAGAACCGCCATTTTTAAACACACAGCCGAGACATTACACTGTAATAATAAATACATATAATTATCATCATTCATATTATTATCATCACCTTTGGGACTATTATGAACTCAGAATGACGGAATTACTTTTCTAACAAGATGTTTGAAACATGATTTCAAACCACACTGAACTGAGCTAAACTGAACTGAACTTAAACACTAAAAACTGAACCACAATGATCCAGTTACTATGACCATTTATGTGAAGCTGCTTTGACACAATGTACATTGTACTAGCGCTATACAAATAAAGCTGAATTGAACTGAATTGAATGTTACAATAACCTTACATGTGCTGGTGAAGAATAAAGATGAGAGGCATTTGTACTCACTGTATATGTTTCGTATCGTTTATGAACCCAAATAAAGCTTATATGTAAGCTTATATGTTTATATGTTTTCATTTGTAATTGGTCACATTTCAGAGACTTTAGAGATCTAATTAATATAATTGAATATATTTTATATAATTGCAGACATTGCAAACTTTGAAACAAACAAAAAATACACTTTAAAATTTTAAATATAAAAAAACTAGTAATACTATAAAAATAATACTCTAAGTCAGTGGATCTTTTTCACCAAGTACCACCTCAGAAATTTTTTTCTCTCCAAGTACCACCATAATGACTAGTATTGAAATACAGTAGCGTAGTAGGCCTACTTAAGCAGCGACAGCTCTGCACAGTTAAAAAAATGTGGCAGATTAATTACTATTATTATGAATATTTATTAATGTGAGACACTTTAAACTATAAATAGTTTGAACTTTAAAACTGCACTCTGCTTACAGGTAAAAAAATAAATAAAACGTCAACGTTTAAAATAAAATGTGCTTTTTATAAAGTAATTAAAAATGACACTGTTCTTAAAAAGTAAAAGAAAACTGCTGTATTTAAATGTAAAGTATTATCATATAGTAGCCTATTCATCTAAACCTGGAAATATTCCTTGGACCTCATAAATAGTTTTATAAATAATAAATAAGTAATACGCCATCATACTCATATTTAAAATCTTTTTTGATACATTTAGAAATATATGATATATATATATATATATATATATTTATTATTATTATTTTTTTTATTTACTTATTTATTTATACAACAGTTCTGTCTGGTTCTCGAATCTGATTGGCTGATCGCCGTGATATATTTAAGTAATATCAGCACCCGTTCAGCCTCTTTACCCTTTGTGTATTACTCCGCCCACATACAGCCAACCAGACACTACAGATGTAAAGTTTAAAAGATGCTTGCTCAGCTGTTTAACTGTCAGCTTATGATTTGAATCCAACGCGAAAGAAAGTAGTTCCTCATACAAAAGGATTTTTGAGACTCTCCATGTTTGATTTTTTCATTTTTCCTCTCCATGTTTGACATATTTGTATATCTTCGAAATCTAAAAATTACCTTGAATTATAGATATATAAACTGGATTTACATATTTAAATTAGATCTGCTTCCTGCGCGTTAGAGTTGGCTATTTGTGTTAGAAAAGCAAGTGATTAAACTATACCTTTTAACATTGCGATAAAAAATTACAGGATACGCCACCAACAACAGTTACGAATATGGGGAGATTAGCTTCAAATGATAGAATACATAACATTTTTTTTTTATTAAAATAAAAGGTTCAGCCTATTAAATTAATTTACTGATCACATTGGTGTTATCGTATGCGTCAAATGGTTAAAAGTGCGTTTGTTTTTTTACTTTAATTATTCAGCGATTTCACTGCGTACCACTAGAAGGAAGCATCCGTACCACTAGTGTTACACGTATCACAGTTTGAGAACCACGGATCTAAATCATTTCGGTTTTACATTATAAGGTACATTTATAGCAAAGAAGCTCGAAATGTTGAGCCTCAAAACACAAAATGTGCTGGTCTTTTCAGCAGGGCAGCTTTAGCATAAATATTTCTGAATCCTTTATACAACTTCTGATTTCAGTCTAGACTAAGATATTTTCTCACATATGCTTTCTTCCTAATGGAAATAATGGAGGAGCCATTTTAAACATCTGCGCTCTCAGACGGGCCCTGTGGACATCGGATTCTCACCAGGACTGACGGCGAGAGCTCTGGATCTTCCCACTTATGTGAAAGAAAAACTGAGCTAACAAGCCCCAAAGCGCTAATGAGCTGTTATTTTCCAAAAGCTGCAATATAAAGGACGTTTCTGAAGCCATTCGATGTAAACCCACCACCTGCGGTCTCTACTGCATCTCCAAAAACGCTTTCCATTTCCTCTTTCTGCTACAGTATGTCATAGTCGCTTACAGATTTGAGCTCCACAAGACCGCTGGGTTTCAATGAGAACATTTTGTCTCTTGCTTTAAAGGCCAATATTTTGTCATTTACACTATTTATTTTATTGAATATTCTGCAATGCAAAAATGTTGCTCTGACTTCGAAACTTTTGCTTGTTTTCCAGTACAAATAAATGCGTAAATTAAGATACGTTTAGTTGAGAAACAAAATAACTTCAGAACTTATTAAAGTTTATGTTTATCACAGAAAAAAATAAATTTTTAGATCTCTTAAGGAGATATTTTTTGTCTTGCTTTAAGCAAAAAGTAATAAAAAAAAATCATTATGTCACTTACGTCATTTACTTCTAACTGTATCTTGCTCTAAAAATATATAGACATTCATGTTTGAGCAACCTTTTTTATTGTTACATTTTATTACGATTTTATTGTCCAATTATGAGCATTTTTCTCACATTTCAAGCTATAAAATAGGAATTGTGTTTCCAGGCCCTATCATATACCTCCCTCAATAAACAGCAAGACGTGTATAGTGCAATTTTTTGCTATTTTTAGACCAGCGCAACTGTAATTTTCATGTTTTGCACCACATTGTTTAAATAGCAAATCTATTTGCGCCACTTTGTGAACTCATTGATGTGCTGCCTTTTCAGTTTATTCATGACAATCTGCATTTGTATATTGATATTATAATTAGCAGTATTATTTATTATATGCATATTTATGTTTAAATAGAATTTATAAAAACAAGCTTGGATTTGTCCACCTGTGGGGTTTCGAGGACGTTTGCATCACGATATGGGGCATAAGAACAAGGACGTGTGTTTGGATATAACTTAGTGCTTTGACAACACTTCTTTATTATTGTTCATTTATTCTATGCTGGAAAATTTATCTGAATTTAGAAATAGTTTTGAAACAAATCTTTGCGCTTCACGAACCAAATTAAGTATGTAGGCTAATGGATGTCTTCAGTGGAGTGAGTTTTCACCATTTCCTCATCCATGAAAGTAAAGGAGTGAAGAGTAAAAGTAAAGTAAAGTAAAGAGAAAGTAAAGAGGCTGAATGGAGGAGGCTCATTCTTTATCCTCATGCTGCAGAGGCACTGTTTAACTGTTGTCTCACTAGTGAAGCGTTCAGTTTTTTGCGTACAGTGTCTCTGATTGGTTTAATGCACGTTATGCTCAAAACTCACCCATAACTCATTAAGAGAATAAGCACAACCATGCGTTGCGGTGCAAACTGTATTTTTCCGGCCTTAAACGAGCAGAAGTGGATTCGGACACGACCCTAATGCTTTTGCACTATGCGCTTCAGACTTTGCGCTTAGATTGTTAAAATAGAACCCTTCATCTCACAATTCTTAAAAAAATTAAGTGTGTAAAAACTAAAAACTCACAATTGCAAGAAATATCACCACTATCACGCTTATCAGCTCATGCTAATTTTCTGCTCGAAAAGTTGACTTTGTAATTTGTTGTACTGCTTTTGTGGCGTTTGTTGTTTAATAATTTACTGTATTTGTGATGTAAATGGTGGCAAAGGTGGTGAATTAATAGTTTTCTACTACTACTACTACTACTTTATTCAAGTTCATGGCAAACATGAAATTCCAAGTCATTCATGTGGCCTAGCAGAAATTAAAATCTATTTGCACAATTGATTTGCCTTTGTATGTAAATTAATTACGAATACTTAAAGTCATCATGAACTGGAAGTTGCTGAGACTTATTTTCAGTATGTTGATGTATTCCAACTGAAACTGAAAATTGATAAGGGGGCAGGGCTTTCCTTTAGCGAATCATTACCTCATAGCAAAGTAGCGGTAAGAGAGAAGTGTTAAGAATATTGTAACTGAAGTCGTCAAATATACGACAACAGTGAGGAACCGCCTTTACAAACTTGGAAACAAATGCTCAGACTTTGATTAAAGATTACCAAAACAGCTTTTTTTTTAAGTGGATTAACCTGGACGGATTATTTTTTCACCTAAAGAATAACAATGTGCCTGTATACATTGCAATTTTTAAATTCACAAAGACTTTAAGTTCAAATTTGGAAAGAACCAAGCATAACTATCTTTAAAAAATAAATAAATAATAATAATAAAATGAGGTGGAAACTGGCTTCTGCAGATATTAGTACTGGAAATCAAGACAAAATCCATAATGAAGTCACTATCTTCTCCAAATGAAGTCACTATCTTCTCCAAATGAAGGCACTATCTTCTCCAAATGAAGTCACTATCTTCTCCAAATGAAGTCACTATCTTCTCCAAATGAAGTCACTATCTTCTCCAAATGAAGTCACTATCTTCTCCAAATGAAGTCACTAGCTTCTCCAAATGAAGTCACTATCTTCTCCAAATGAAGTCACTATCTTCTCCAAATGAAGTCACTATCTTCTCCAAATGAAGGCACTATCTTCTCCAAATGAAGTCACTAGCTTCTCCAAATGAAGTCACTAGCTTCTCCAAATGAAGTCACTATCTTCTCCAAATGAAGTCACTATCTTCTCCAAATGAAGTCAATATCTTCTCCAAATGAAGTCACTATCTTCTCCAAATGAAGTCACTATCTTCTCCAAATGAAGTCACTATCTTCTCCAAATGAAGTCACTAGCTTCTCCAAATGAAGTCACTATCTTCTCCAAATGAAGTCACTATCTTCTCCAAATGAAGTCAATATCTTCTCCAAATGAAGTCACTATCTTCTCCAAATGAAGTCACTATCTTCTCCAAATGAAGTCACTATCTTCTCCAAATGAAGTCACTAGCTTCTCCAAATGAAGTCACTATCTTCTCCAAATGAAGTCACTAGCTTCTCCAAATGAAGTCACTATCTTCTCCAAATGAAGGCACTATCTTCTCCAAATGAAGTCACTAGCTTCTCCAAATGAAGGCACTATCTTCTCCAAATGAAGTCACTATCTTCTCCAAATGAAGTCACTAGCTTCTCCAAATGAAGTCACTAGCTTCTCCAAATGAAGTCAATATCTTCTCCAAACGAAGTCACTATCTTCTCCAAATGAAGTCACTAGCTTCTCCAAATGAAGTCACTATCTTCTCCAAACGAAGTCACTATCTTCTCCAAATGAAGTCACTATCTTCTCCAAATGAAGTCACTATCTTCTCCAAATGAAATCACTAGATTCTCCAAATGAAGTCACTAGCTTCTCCAAATGAAGTCACTATCTTCTCCAAATGAAGTCACTAGCTTCTCCAAATGAAGTCAATATCTTCTCCAAACGAAGTCAATATCTTCTCCAAACGAAGTCACTATCTTCTCCAAATGAAGTCACTATCTTCTCCAAATGAAGTCACTATCTTCTCCAAATGAAGTCACTATCTTCTCCAAACGAAGTCAATATCTTCTCCAAACGAAGTCAATATCTTCTCCAAACGAAGTCACTATCTTCTCCAAATGAAGTCACTATCTTCTCCAAATGAAGTCACTAGCTTCTCCAAATGAAGTCACTAGCTTCTCCAAATGAAGTCACTAGCTTCTCCAAATGAAGTCACTATCTTCTCCAAATGAAGGCACTATCTTCTCCAAATGAAGTCACTATCTTCTCCAAATGAAGTCACTATCTTCTCCAAATGAAGTCACTATCTTCTCCAAATGAAATAACTAGCTTCTCCAAATGAAGTCACTAGCTTCTCCAAATGAAGGCACTATCTTCTCCAAATGAAGTCACTATCTTCTCCAAATGAAGTCACTATCTTCTCCAAATGAAGTCACTATCTTCTCCAAATGAAGTCACTAGCTTCTCCAAATGAAGTCACTATCTTCTCCAAACGAAGTCACTATCTTCTCCGAATGAAGTCACTATCTTCTCCAAATGAAGTCACTATCTTCTCCAAATGAAGTCACTATCTTCTCCAAATGAAGGCACTATCTTCTCCAAATGAAGTCACTAGCTTCTCCAAATGAAGGCACTATCTTCTCCAAATGAAGTCACTATCTTCTCCAAATGAAGTCACTAGCTTCTCCAAATGAAGTCACTAGCTTCTCCAAATGAAGTCAATATCTTCTCCAAACGAAGTCACTATCTTCTCCAAATGAAGTCACTAGCTTCTCCAAATGAAGTCACTATCTTCTCCAAACGAAGTCACTATCTTCTCCAAATGAAGTCACTATCTTCTCCAAATGAAGTCACTATCTTCTCCAAATGAAATCACTAGATTCTCCAAATGAAGTCACTAGCTTCTCCAAATGAAGTCACTATCTTCTCCAAATGAAGTCACTAGCTTCTCCAAATGAAGTCAATATCTTCTCCAAACGAAGTCAATATCTTCTCCAAACGAAGTCACTATCTTCTCCAAATGAAGTCACTATCTTCTCCAAATGAAGTCACTATCTTCTCCAAATGAAGTCACTATCTTCTCCAAATGAAGTCACTAGCTTCTCCAAATGAAGTCACTATCTTCTCCAAACGAAGTCACTATCTTCTCCAAATGAAGTCACTATCTTCTCCAAATGAAGTCACTATCTTCTCCAAATGAAATCACTAGATTCTCCAAATGAAGTCACTAGCTTCTCCAAATGAAGTCACTATCTTCTCCAAATGAAGTCACTAGCTTCTCCAAATGAAGTCAATATCTTCTCCAAACGAAGTCAATATCTTCTCCAAACGAAGTCACTATCTTCTCCAAACGAAGTCAATATCTTCTCCAAACGAAGTCAATATCTTCTCCAAACGAAGTCACTATCTTCTCCAAATGAAGTCACTATCTTCTCCAAATGAAGTCACTAGCTTCTCCAAATGAAGTCACTAGCTTCTCCAAATGAAGTCACTAGCTTCTCCAAATGAAGTCACTATCTTCTCCAAATGAAGGCACTATCTTCTCCAAATGAAGTCACTATCTTCTCCAAATGAAGTCACTATCTTCTCCAAATGAAGTCACTATCTTCTCCAAATGAAATAACTAGCTTCTCCAAATGAAGTCACTAGCTTCTCCAAATGAAGGCACTATCTTCTCCAAATGAAGTCACTATCTTCTCCAAATGAAGTCACTATCTTCTCCAAATGAAGTCACTATCTTCTCCAAATGAAGTCACTAGCTTCTCCAAATGAAGTCACTATCTTCTCCAAACGAAGTCACTATCTTCTCCGAATGAAGTCACTATCTTCTCCAAATGAAGTCACTATCTTCTCCAAATGAAGTCACTATCTTCTCCAAATGAAGTCACTAGCTTCTCCAAATGAAGTCACTATCTTCTCCAAACGAAGTCACTATCTTCTCCGAATGAAGTCACTATCTTCTCCAAATGAAGTCACTATCTTCTCCAAATGAAATCACTAGATTCTCCAAATGAAGTCACTAGCTTCTCCAAATGAAGTCACTATCTTCTCCAAATGAAGTCACTAGCTTCTCCAAATGAAGTCACTATCTTCTCCAAATGAAGTCACTAGCTTCTCCAAATGAAGTCAATATCTTCTCCAAACGAAGTCACTATCTTCTCCAAATGAAGTCACTATCTTCTCCAAACGAAGTCACTATCTTCTCCAAATGAAGTCACTAGCTTCTCCAAATGAAGTCACTATCTTCTCCAAATGAAGTCACTGTCTTCTCCAAATGAAGTCACTATCAAACAAAATCTCTAAGCACATTCTCTCTTTCTACTGCTAAACATTAAAAATGGAGGACCAACTTCAGATTCTCTCAGACTCTACACTGCCCTAGTTTGAGTTCTAATACACAAGCTGTTGTTGAAGACCGGAGCGAGGCAGTGGTTAAAGTGTATGTCGTCCTCGTACCTCCTGCTCCACAGAGGGTTCAGTGGCGTTAAGGGCCTTGTAGAGAAGCATGTAGCCTGTGGCCCCTGTGGCTGCGTCCCATCTCACATTCATGGTGGTGGAGCGCTCTTTGTAGATGTTCATGCTCCTCACAGCACTGAGAGGCACTACAGAGGGGAACAGGTCTTTTCTCTCTTTCTATTATTCATCTCAGGCCCTGACTATCTCCATCTAAGCGGACTGAAGCTCATGGAGCGATGGGAAGGTGGAATGAGGTGCCATGAAGGACAATGACTGGATGAGGATGATCATGGATACTCATGTGATGGAAATGACTGACAGACAGACAAATGTCAACGTGTACACTGCAAAATACTGTTATTTTTTGTCTTGTTTTCTGAGAAATATCTATTCTTTAAGTACAAATGTATTTACTTAAGAAGCAAAATAAAACCTTGTAAACTTACAGCATTATTTAAATTCTGTCGTCATTTACTGAAGCGTTTCCAAACCATTTCTCTCTTCTGTTGAACAAAAGAGATAATATTTTGGAGATTGTTTAAAAAAAAAATGGTGGCCATTGACTTTGATAGCTAAAACTGTCAGTTTTCGAACCTTCATCAAAGCATCTTCTTTTTTGTTCAACAATAGAAACTTAAATTTCGTGTAAATTAGACTTTATTTTCAATGAAAAATGCTTTTTTAAAGATTTATTTTTGGAATGTTTACCTTTATTCAACAGGACATTAGGATGACAGCAAGTGAAGTTAGAGAAAGTGAGAGAAACTGGATCTGAAAATGTCCATGAGCCAGGACTCAAACTCAGGACACCCGCACAAACCACTAGACTATCAGCACAGTTTAAAACAAACATAAATATTGATTTTCTTGTTTTAAAGATGCTGTATGTATGTTTTGGACTCTTCTAAAGCATACTACAATAATATGCTACTACATATTTAATAAACATGCAAAGAGAACCTACTTTTTTATTGAAAAAAGATGCTAAAGTCAGATATTCGCCTTTAAAAATGTGCGTTCTGTGTCAGAATGTCTGTCTTGTTTTGGTCTCTATAACCAGCCCACTGCCAGTTTACCCAATTATATTTCAGAACTCTGGTTTGCCTTGGTGGAAAACCAAGACTTGAAGGCTGCTTTAATGTGGAGCGATCGATGATGTGAACTTTTGAGGACCGTAGCAGCCTCAGAAATGAGACGCAGATTCAGAGTCATAAAAATCTACATGAGTGAATTTTTATTTAGAAAATAATGCAAATTTTACTAAAGTAAAACAATAGCTGAGTAGCATACGTTGTAAAGCTTGTTCGGTAGGCACAATTGCTCCTATTGGTGCTGTCAATATAGCAACCTGCATGTGTGTCGATCACCAGAGGAATGGTTGGGTGAAAAAAACCCTCTCCAATATTTTGAATTTGGACTGTAATACCTAGCCAACCACAAGGGGGGTCAATCCTACATATTGCACATTTAATCATCAACTCACATAATTGTGATTTATTTTTGCTTATATTTGCTTCTTCAGTAAATGTGTCTCGATTTAAGAATGTTTTGATGTTTATGCTAAAAAACAAGACAAAAAATACTGGGAAAATAATTTTGCAGTGTAAAGACAATGATGATTTTATGTATGCGCACGAATAAAAACACGGACACTTTGCGATGCAAAAGCAGCATCATGCCGGACGAAACACCATTCAGAGCGCTGTGAAAGGAACGATGGTGTTAGGGTTATGTCATCATGTTAATTCATGATCAAATGTGGCAAAAACAAGATCAGCAACATAAGCACACACGCCTTGCAAAGCATTTTATTTGCATCTTCTCAGTAACTGGTTAAACATCAGTGAAATCAACAGTTCCTTTGACAAGGTGAATCAGACAAAACATATCTGAAATATTGAAATCTAAAAAAATAAATAAGTGCATGTTTACTTTAAATTATTGTCATTAGCATCTAAAATTTATATACAGTTGAAGTCAGAATTATTAGCCCGCCTGGATTATTAGACCCCCTGTTTATTTTTTCCCAATTTCTGTTTAAAAGAGCAGCATTTTTTCAGCACATTTCTAATCATAATAGTTTTAATTACTCATTTCTAATAACTGATTTGTTTTATCTTTGTCATGATGACAGTAAATAATATTTACAAGATATTCTTCAAGACACTTCTATACAGCTTAAAGTGACATTTAAAGACTTAACTAGGTTAATTAGGTTAACTAGACAGGTTAGGGTAATTAGGCAAGTTACTGTATAACGATGGTTTGTTCTGTAGGTTATCGAGAAAAAAAATATTAAAGGTGCTAATAATTTTGTCCCTAAAATGGTGTTTAAAAAAAATTAAAAACTAACAAATAAGAAACAAATAAGACTTTTTCCAGAAGAAAAAATATTATCAGACATACTGTAAAAATTTTTTTTACTGTGAAAAATTTTCTTGCTCTGGTAAACATCATTTGGGAAATATTTAAAACAGAAGAAAACAATTCGAAGGGGCTAATAATTCTGACTTTAACTGTGTATGTGTGAATATATATATATATATATATATATATATATATATATATATATATATATTGGTGTCAATAAATAATGTTAATTTTAGACAAATTTTATGCCAAATTTCATATTTCTTTAGTGAAATGTTTGCTGGACATGTTTTGTAAGATTCAGAGCAATGTGAAACAACAGCAATTATTAACAAAACATTAAAGTACTACAATGCAAAACAACAACGATTTACAACAAAATAGACAAAATAGTAAAACACAACATCAGAACCAATCCCTCATGAATATGTGATATGTTGCACATGTGTAAATAATTCTGTTCCGGATTATTTCTTAAGTGTCTTTATTTGTGTGTTTGTGTATGCTGATTAGGGTTGTTATGGTTTATGTATTCCTCCTGAACCATTACAGTACAGGGGGTCACGGTTCGGTTTATACACTAAGACTATGAATAGTCAGTCCAGATGTGCTTATCACTGGAGTTAGAAATGGTTCTGTCATGTTGCCGCTGTCAGGCAGTATGGTGGCTCAGTGGTTAGCACTGTTGCCTCAGAGCAAGAAGGTCACTGGTTCGAGTCCCGGTTGGGTCAGTTGACATTTCTGTGTGGAGTTTGCATGTTCTCCCTGTGTTGGCGTGGGTTTCCTCTGGGTGCTCTGGTTTTCCCCACTGTCCAAAGACATGCGGTATAGGTTAATTGAATAAACTAAATTGGCCGAATAAGTGTATGTGTGAATGAGTGTGTATGGGTGTTTCCCAATACTGGGTTATGGCTGGAAGGGCATCTATTGCGTAATATATATAGATTGCGTGTTAAAGCTATAATTGTTTTATCTTGAATTAGCGTCTTAAAAATTTGGTACTTTTGCCATGAGAGACACTACAGAAGACGTAATGTAAGTATAATAGTAATGCATGTCCGTCAAACATGTTTACATAGAAAAACAATGGCAATATAATATTCTGTCTCATCTCATGCTCCCGAGGTACACACCATATCGTGAACTCCACGATATGCACTGTTACACCCTTAACGCTGATGCATATTGATGAGGAACTGGCTCTGTCCGTTCTGCAGCTGAATGAATTGTGGGTAAATTGCACACTTACATGTGGTCTCTATGCCTCTGAGTGGGTCGCTGCTGTCCTCTCCCACCACTGAGTAAACCTTTACTATGTACTCGGTCAGCGGAGTGAGACCTTCCAAAACCACAGTGGTCACCGTCCCGTCCACAAACATCTACAACAGAGGAATGCAACATAACCTGGAGTCAGCAAGAGCAGGACACCACTGTGTTTTCAGAGCAAAAAAATCCAGCTTTTCTAGGTCAAATTCAAGTTAGCCTCTCCAAATCACTTCCGGACTTCCAGGCTTCCTGAAGAAATCGAGCTTAAGCTCAACACAAAGGCATCAACCCTCACTTTGCCACTATTGGTAGTTCATTCTGATGGTGAATTACACCAGATGCAGATGAATTGTTAAGCGAAAGTGATTTACATGTCTATGCAAAGATGTGATAGACATCCTGCGGTGTGGTTCCTGTGAATGATGCAATTCGAACAAATGACGAAATTGTTCTATATATATATAGAAAATAAATAAATAAATAAATAAATATGTATATATGTATACAGTTGAAAGCAGAAGTTGACATACACTCAAAAAATGGAACATAACCATTTAAAAAAATGTCTGATGGTAAATCATACTAAGCGTTTACTATTTTAGGTCCATTAGGATTACCTAAAGCATTTAAATTTGCTAAATGCCAGAATAATGAGAGTTTTTATTAATTTCTTGACAGTCAAAAGTTTACATACATTTCCTTGGTATTTTTTAGCTTTGCATTTAAACTGTACAACTTTGGTCAGATGTTTTGGATATCCTTCCACAAGCTTCTCACAAATCTTTGAAGGAATTTTGGCCCATTCCTCCTGACAGAATTGGTGTAACTGAGTCAGATTTGTAGGCTGTCAAGCTTTTTCAACTCTGCCCACAACTTTTCTATAGGATTGAGATCAGGGCTTTGTGATGGCCACTCCAAAATATTCACTCTGTTGTCCTTAAAGCACATTTTAACTAATTTGGCAGTGTGCTTAGGGTCATGGTCTGTTTGGAAGACCTATTTGTGGCCAAGTTTTAATTTCCTGACTGATGTCTTGAGATGTTGCTTCAGTATTTCTACATAATGTTCTTTCTTAATGATGCCATCTATGCTGTGAAGTGGACCAGTCCCTCCAGCAGCAAATCAGCCCCACAACATGATGCTGCCGCCCCCATACTTCACAGTTGGGATGGTGCTCCTAGGCTTATAAGCTTTCCCCTTTGTTCTCCAAATGTAACACTGGCCATTATGGCCAAACAGGTCAATCTTAGATCCATCAGAGCACTGAACATGTCTCCAAATATGAGTCTTTTTCCCAGTGTAATTTAGCCAATTGTAATCTGGCTTTGTTGTTGATTCTGGCTTGTTGATTTTCCCATGTTGTCACACAAGGAAGCAGTGTGTTTGAGCTTTTCCTTAAATACTATTCTACAGTTGTGCCTCCAATTAACTTAAATGTTTTCAATTAGCCAATCAGAAACTTCCAAAACCTCGACACCATCATCTGAGCTTTTTCAGAAGCAGAATAATCTTACTGTATGGAAACTTGACTTTTAAGAAAAGGTATAACAGTTTCTCAAAAATATCTCTCTCTCATTATTCTGATATTAAGCATAACAGAAACAAATGTAATAATCGTAACTAACCTAAAAGAGAAAAAATTTTGTCACATTAAATATGACTTATTTTTTTATACTGGTTTCAAACGTGTATATATATATATATATATATATATATATATATATATATATATATATATATACACACACACACACACACACACACACACACACACACACACACACACACACACACACACACACATACATTTGGATTGTTTGAGTTTTAACCAAAACTGGGCAATTTTAATGTCAAAAGCTCCTTTAAAATATTTGCGGATACCTGTTGCTGTGGTTCTCCTCCAGCGGTGCTCACATACTCCACTCTGTACTTCTCCACAGGCCCGTCAGGAGCCACCCAAGTGGCACGGAAAGAGTAATGTGTGACCTCTGAGGTGGTCAGATCAGTGGGTGGCTCTGGTCCTCCTCCTGGGAAGGAGAATGACAGTAGTTAGGCTTCAACCTTTGACCCCTCACATACTCCAGAATGAACAGTTTTATGGTGTCTGTCATCATGGCTGTTTCTCACTACAACTAAATCACTATTTCTGTAAATAACTAGAATGTTTAAACCTTTTGTTTTAGTAGTATTATTATTATAGTTATTTTATAATTCACTTTTACACATTTGATAAAAAGGTTAAAATAAATAAGTGCATTTTTAGTACTTTTTAGATTTTTTCTTTTCATTAGCATAATATAATATAATATAATATATATAATATAATATAATATAATATAATATAATATAATATAATAATATAATATAATATAATATAATATAATATAACATAATATAATATAATATAATATAATATAATATAATATAATATAATATAATATAATATAATATAATATAATATAATATAATATAATAATATAATATAATAAAAATTGAATAAAAAATATATATAATATAAATATAATAACATAATATAATACAAATATACTTCACATGAGGGCTAATAATTATGAATTCAGCTATATATATATATATATAAATTTGTAAAAATTATTTATTGTTACACATTTTACCCATTTCTCAAGGAATATAGACAATATATATTGTGCATTTAAACAGAACAGTTATTAAGTAGTACACTTAATAAACATATTCATTATTTCATATTAATATTCATTAAAAATGAGATTCATTTATAAGTGGTCATTTAAGATATTCAGAAACAGAATGATAATATATTTAACTTCAAAATATGATACTTCTGTTCACTCTCTATCTGATTATGACTTCTCAGAAAGAAAATAATCTCATGCTAATATTAAATGAATCCTATCCCTTGTTTTAGTAACACAGGAACAAAAATTTGTCAGGACTGTCTTTTTTCTTGCATTCTAATAAGGACCCATGAGATTAAAGTAAAACTAAGCGGCTTAAATTGTGTTATTACATGGTGAATAGTGTCTGAATTGCAGCCGTGTTATCTTAATGTGTTGATGAGTGCTGTCATCAGCTAATCCACAAGTGTTTGCCTTTCCTTTCTTTGCTCTTTTTCCTCTTTTAGAATGTGTTCAAGTGTATTTAAATGTTGTTGTTTTTATCAGTTTGTTAATTGTAACTGGAATAATTGACAAAGGCCTGTTGAATCATTAGAAAATAATGCACATAATAAGGTGGTGATGTGGTCATAATGTCAAGCAGAGTGATCGATATACCTCTGGTGTGCTTTTTTTTTCTAATAACTCAATAGAGCACAATCAATTATTCCACTTTTACTACTCATACCACCAACACAATCTCACAGCAATTCGTAACTTTTTCATTTAGTGGCTAATTCGTATGAATTCGTACGATCTAATTAGTACAATTTAGTATGATTTGCTCATCCCCCAATGACGGTTGGGGTTAGGGGTGGGGTCAAGGGCCCACGCCTCCTTTTTAAAATCGTACCATTTCGTACGACTGAACTCGTACGAATTCGTACGAATTAGCCACTAAACTGGCAAAACGTAAAATACTTACGTTTTCTCGTGAGATCAGGCTGGTTACCACACTTAATGACACTGTTCAGATGTTGTATTTCAGGCATTTGTCCTCAAACTACTTCTGTGTGTAGCACTAGTTTCTTAAACACCTCATCCAAACCCTTCTTGATGTATTTTAATGTGATTTTGCACTGATGTAACTGTGAAATAACTGAAATCATTCAGCGTAGTGATACAAAACTCCAATGCACTCTAAACCTGCCGGAACTACTTTAGCTGTGCATTTATCTAAAAACAACTGGGCACCTTAGAAGGTTCATCAGCCAATCAGAATCAACCGTTCAACAGCCTTGTAGTAGAACGTTTTCAAATTAAATAACATAACAGGCAACCCACTATTTCCATATTGTAGATACTACAGATGAATATAATAAGAAGCAACTCTCCTATTGGGTAAAGACGCATGAATATATCATGGCCCTGACCTGGACCTTTGACGCTGTTGCACAGGTTGTTTGTGAGGTCATCCACAATGTCCAGCAGGAAGGAGAAATCAGCCACGTTGTACATGTGAATGTCATCGGGATCGGAAGCAATGGTTCTCAACTCATTCTCATCTGCGTTCTTTACACCTGCAGATCACAGAACATGTTAAAGAGATGAACATTTCCTCGTTTACTCACCTGCAGTTGTTTTAAAACTCTTGAACACAAAGGAAGATATTCTGAAGAATGCAGCCACTGACATCCATAGTAGGAACAAAAAAATACTATGAAAGTCAATGGCTGCATTCTTCAGAATATCTTCCTTTGTGTTCAACAGAAGAAAGAAACATGTTTGAACAAGTTTGAGGATGACTGAAATTTCGTTTCTGGGTGAACTGCCTCTTTAAAGGCCTAAACAGAAAGTCTACAAACGCAAACTAGTTCTTACCAATGGCGTACAGTTCAATCCCTTGGTCCCGCAGGTTCTGTGAGTTCGCCACAATGTCGTCTTGGGACTTGCCATCAGTGACCAGGACGCCGATCTTTCTGGAGTTTGGACGCATGCCAACGTTAGGCTTGAAGTTATTCTGAAGGATGTAATTCAAAGCAAGGCCTGCGGAATAAGAGAATACATGGTAATAAGACTCTCATAAACAACACGGTTTAAGAAAGCCAAATTAAAAACAAACTTAATCCTATTAATGATGCACTAAGCAATATTTGAAAATCGCCTTCACAGTTTTGGAGCCTCAAAACATACTTGCAGCCAATCAGCATGTCTAATAACTATAGCAGAGATATCAAAAAGAGTGGGGTCATGTAAGATTACGTTCATTTGATTTGTTGCATTAATTATAGGGATACACTGAAATGAATTTTTTTTGACCGATACCCATATCCAATAACTCTTTGGATTTGGAGAATAAGAGAATTCTTGGTAATAAGAGTGTAAATAAGCAACACAGCTCAAAATTTGTCAAATTAATAGTTATTCCCTAAACACAATTGCAGCCAATTAGCAGTAAGAGTCGTGTCTAGTAACTATAGCAGAGATATCAAAAAGGGGCAGGGCCTTGTTAGATTATGAGCATATTTGTTTTAGTGCCTTGAAATATAAGGATACACTGATATGGGTTTTTTTGACCGATACCGATAACTTTAGATTTAGTAGACTAAGTTAATATTTTGTAATAGGAGTCTAAATAAACAGCAGAGCTAAAAGCAAACCAAATGAAAAACAAACTAAATCATATTAAAGATTAAACTAAGCAATATTCGAAAATCGCTTTTGATCACAGTATTGGAGTCCCAAAACACTCTTGCAGCCAATCAGCATTAAGGGGCGTGTCTAGCAACTATAGCAGAGATATCAAAAGGAATGGCGTCTTTTAAGATTACATTAGTTTATTGTAGTGCCTTTAAATAGAGGGATGCACCGATATGGATGTTTTGACCGATACCGATAACTCTTTAGATTTCGAGAATTAGAGAATATTTGGTAGTAAGGGTCTAAATAAACAACCCTAAACGCGATTCAAATAAAAACCAAAGTGAACCATATTAACGATACACTAAACATTATTTGAAAATCATTTTTGATCGCAGTTGTAATGCCCTAAAACATATTTGCAGGCAATCAGCATCAAGGGGTGTGTCTAGTAACTATAGCAGACATATATGCCTTTAAATATGAGGATACAACAATATGGGTTTTTTCACCGATACCGATAATCGACCGATAAATGGATAACTAGATTTGGATAATAAGAGCATAGTTAGTAAAAATAAATAACACTGCTAAAAGTTAGTCAAATGAAAATTGACAAACGTAACCATATTAAGGATGCAATAAGCAATATTTGAAAATTGCTTTTGATTGCAGTGTTGGACCAAGTCTAAAAACACACTTAAAGCCAATCAGCACTAAGGAAATTTTTGACCGATACCGATAACTAGGACCGGACGTAATCATGACTAAAACCTTAATATATGAAATAAAAAATTATACCTTTTAAACTTTTATTTAATTTTTAAAATGCAAATTCTTTTAGATTCACTTTATTTGTTAAACAAAGCAAGTCTCTCATATAATATCTCTACTAAAAGACAGAAAAAATTACTTTACACACTATATTGTAAATAAATCATACTGTAATTAATTTAAAAACAGAATAAACTTAGATTTACTCAAGTAAATAAACAGATAATGATGGGCTAAAAATCTGCAGAATTCTGAGGAAAATCTGCGGAATTCTGCGCACGCAGATTTCGTGTGGGCCTACCGATAACTCTTTTGATTTAAAGACCTTTACACTAACAATAATATAGATTTTTCAAATTTATTTGCACAATTGCAAATACAAAAGGCCAACACGAAAAGTGAACTTCAGAAAAGTTTGAACTGATTACTGAACTTTAACTTTTCTTTATACAACTTTCCTTTATGTAAATGAAAAAATAAATATGGCCCCTTTAAGTAAAATTTTGAAGACTTCAAAATGATCTCTATGATGAAAATGCTGCTAAAAACTTTTACTAATCAGACAGAACTGACAGAAGGCTAGAAAATGTGGTTCATGACTCTTTTCGATTTGAAGTGTAGCTGAACACTAGACTATTAGTGTTGGCAATTTAGGTTTACAGATCATCCAGCCTGATTTCACGAGAAAACGTGAGTATTCTACGTTTTGTCAGTTTAGTGGCTAATTTGTACGAATTCGTATAAGTTCAGTTGTACAAAATTGTACGATTTTAAAAAGGAGGCGTGGCACCTAACCCCACCCCCTAAACCCAACTGTCATTGGGTGATGAGCAAATCGTACTAAATTGTACGAATTAGATCGTACGAAATCATACGAATTAGCCACTAAGTCAAAAAGTTACGAATTGCCGTGAGATTGTGTTGGATCATCAGGCTTTTGTTCACCTCTGCATTGCATTCCAGATTTTAAAAACAGAGGGCCCTATTATACACCTGGCGCAAGCCATAACGCAATTGTTGTTTGTTAGTTTCAGATTGGCGCAAGAGTCGTTTTGACGTTTTGCAGCACGCTGTTTAAATAGCAATTGCATTTGCGCTCATATGTGCACCCATAGGCGTTCTGGTCTAAAACAGGAGGTGTCTGAGGTGCATTGCTATTTTGAGAAACTATAATAGATTTTTCAATAGACCAAAACAAAGCCGGTCTAAAGTTTAGCGCAGAACGCGTTAGTTATGCGCCTCGCTTACACATTGCTTAATACAAATAGGATGTAGAGCAATACGCAAATATCTTTAAAAATGAAAAAGAATAAAAATATTAAGGTTATATATAGGAAATAATAAGGATATAGGATATAAATATAAAGGATTAAAGTATTACAAAACATATTATTTTCTGGTCTACATAAATATAAAAATCTCGGGGGCTGTTTTAGTTTATTCATGACAATTTGCTTTAGTATAATGTTATTATTATTAGCAGTATTATTTATTATATCCATATTTATATTTGTTTTATTAAAAACAAGCCTAGATTTGCCCACCTGTCAGGTTTTGGACCATATGGGGCACAGCATGTGTTTTAGGATATAACTAAATTTTTTGAGTACACTTCGTTATTTTTGTTCATTTGTTCGTTTGCTGGAAATTAGAACTGAATTTAGAAATAGTTTTGAAACAAATCTTTGCACTTAAACAAAATTAATTATCTATAGGCTAATTGATGTCTGTGCGTATAAGAAGTTTCCCTATTCACGAAAATGAAAGTGAAAGTAAAAGTAAAGAATGAGGAGGCTCATCTCTCATTCTCGTGCTGTAGATGCTCTGTTTAACTGTTTTATTGCTAGTGAAGTGTTCAGTTTTTCCACTCACAAAGTCTGTCATGTAAATAGCAAATGCGCTATGGCATGACCCAACTGGCTCTTAAAGGGAATAGGAGATAAAACTCTGATTGGTTTAATCTCAATACACACCTAAAACTCATTAAGAGAATAAGCTCAACCCTGTTAGACCATGCACCACGGTGCAAAGCGGATTTTTCCGTCCTTACATTAGCAAAAGTAAATTCTAACACACCCTTAATGCGTTTGCACCCTGCGCTTTGCGCTTTGCGCATGGATCTTCGAAATAGAGCCCAGAGAGTGCTGATTATAAAACGATTTAAATGTATTTTTCCTCTAATATGCGGAGTCTGAAGCAATATTAAGGTACCGGTGAGAGTGTTTCCTCCTTTGTAGGGTAGATTGGCCACCGCATCCAGCAGCTGAGTCCTGGTTCTGTGAGCATTGAGATGCCACTCAGTCTTCGGGTCTCCGCTGTACTGTGCCAGACCTAAAAAACCCCAAACATATAGCATCAGATGTAGTGAAGATTTTAATGCTCAGATTTTATACTACAAATCTAATTGTTTACATATTGATTTGTCAATCTTTAGTGTAAATAACTAAAAATTCTGAAATTAGGATACATTTACTTGACGTTCTGAATGACATTAGATATTAAGTCTTGTTTACTACAGAATTGTGTCATATTTCGTTGCTCCATGGTACAGCAGTAAAGTTCCTTGATTATTACGCCTGATTGAGAGTATAGTTCCTATCCTCTCATAGGTACAGAAGAGTCAAGCTTTAAATAGGAAAATGATCAAAACTCTTTTTTGACATTTTTTGACTGAGATGCTAATGGTCTAATCCAATTCAATGATTTATGCTAAGCTAAGCTAAAAGTGATCCAGCCAGACAGGCTAAATGGATACAAAAAACGTTTAAACTGTACACCAGGGGTCACCAAACTTGTTCCTGGAGGGCCGGTGTCCAGCAGATTTTAGCTCCAACCCTAATCAAACACACCTGAACAAGCTAATCAAGCTCTTACTAGGTATTCTTGAAACACCCAGGCAGGAGTGTTGAGGCAAGTTGGAGCTAAACCCTGCAGGGACACCGGCCCTCCAGGACCAAGATTGGTGACCCTGCTGTACACTAACCATATAATAATTAGAATATCAATAGTAATACTTCTCAATTATGCCTAACTATAAGCAACCAACCCTAAAAATACTCATTAGTTAATTAGTAATTAGTACAGAGTATTTAATTAATATTATTCAGTACTTCCTGTAGCGATAACATCAGTTTAAAGTAAAAACATAACCCAAATGTGATCTTCAAACTCAAGAGTAGCATCTAAGTAATGGAAATCTTAAGTAAACATCTCTCTTTGTTGCCTGCTAACTTGCAATGAGACCTGTTTAGTTGTTTTTTCTCTTTCACGGATCGATTTTCTCAGTAAGGTGCTTCTCTTACCAATCTGGACACGATCGGGGCCGATGTCGAAGACTCCCACCATGCGAGCAATGAAATTGCGTATGGTCTTGAAGTTCAGGCGACCAATGCTCCAAGATCCATCAACAAGCAGGACGATATCCGCTTGGGCCGTGGTTTTACACTGGGCATCTGTATGGTCAGAAAACATTAAGTCAGGCCGTTCATTAGCACACGCTCACTATTAATGTTAACAACAAACTATTATTAAAGGTACAGTTCAGCCAAAACATTTACTCTGTCAGAGTTTCATTCTTCTGTTGAACACAAAATATGTTGGAAAATCCACCCATTGACTTCCACAGTATTTTTGGGTTTTACTATGGTTGTCAATGGCTGCTTTTCTCAAACATTCTTCAGAATATCTTGTTTTGTGTTCAACAGAAGATCCTAAAACTTTCCATCAAATAGAAGTTTGCATTTTTTGGGTGAACTATCCCTTTAAGCAGCCGACAAAATCAAAGTGGACATTGATTTGCAATAGAAAATGATGCACACTCGAGCTCAGACACACAAAACAAGCAGGACAAACCAGTTTATTGGGCATTTACAGACAGATACATTTTACATTGCATGTTGGATGGCATCATTTCAAACTATAAAGCCTTTGTTTGTGAGCGAAGTCTTGGTTTGAATCCCATCTTGTGCTCTCTCCAGATACCTGAATGAAGTGAAAAAAGTGGGAAAGTGCCGCCCCGTCTGGATCTGCTCAAAGAAAACATGTTGCATAATTGTCTGATTTATAGATCATTCCCCCGAGCAACAAAAAATAGAAAAACATGGATGGATAAACACTCGGCTAATCTTTTCAAAAGCTGCGGTTATTATGTTTATGAAATGTGTTATCTAGACATGCCTGTGTGGGAATTTCTTAGGCGTAATAAAACAAATTGTCTGAGGCTTTAAAGAGATTTATCACCAGAGCAGGTGTTGTGGAATTATGAGCCCTTGTACCCTAAAAACTACAGCCAGGAACATACTTGAAGCACATGAACAAACACAGTTGTAAAATGCTTGGTCAATGCACTGTGCGCACACTTTTTTCAGGAAATGCATTTATTTTACAACTCCCCTAGAGGTCAGTGGAGTTTTTACCGTTTTAAAATCTATTCAGCCAATCTTCAGGTCTGGCGGGAGCACGTTAGCTTAGCTTAGCATAAATCATTAAATCAGATTAGACCATTAGCATCTTACTCCAAAAAGAACAATTTGATTCCTAAACTCTCATAATTACAGAAGAGTCAAGCTTTAAATAAGAAAGTGATCAGTGAAAGTTTTGAGTGAGATGCTAATGGTCTAATCTGATTCAATGATCTATGCTAAGCTAAGCTAAAAATGCTCTTTCCAGATCCGTAGAGTGGCATAATGAATTAAAAATGTTTAACTGTTCAAACCTCTGGAAGTTGTAAAATGAGCCTAATTCCCAAAAGGTGGTATTTTATGACCTGCCAGTTACTAAGATATTGGCTGTTCAATAGTAATTGATAAATAATACCTTATTGGCTATTAATAAGTGGCAAATTAGGAGTTAAAAGTGAGCTGAAAGTCTTAGTTAATGGTTCGTTAATAGAGAGAATTGTACCTTAAAATAAAGCGTGACCTCCAGCTGATTAATCTACAAGATAATAACATTACATGTTTAGCATTCAGCAGACAGGATTGTCTTTAGAACGTTTGGTAAGATAGTCGTTATTGTTTTTCAAGAAATGTGAAAAAATGATTTATTATTTTAGGCATTCTTGATAGAAAGTATGTAAGACCATCGTCAATGTTTCATTTTAAATGATATGAGATGCTAATGGTCTAATCTGAGTCAAGGATCTATGCTAAGCTAAGCTAAAAATGCTCTTTCCAGATCCGAAGATCGTCTAGATGGATTCAAAAATGGTAAAACAAAATTGTTTAAACCTACTGGAGTTGTTAAATTAATCTATTTCCCAAAAGGTTGAGTTTTGTTACTTGCCTGTTAGTATTAGTTGTTCATTAGTAATTGATAATTATTAATCGCTTAATGTCTATTAATACGTGGCGAATTAAAACTGAGCTAAAAGCATTAGTTAATAGTTCGTTAATAGAGAGAATTGTACTTTGAAATAAAGTGACCTCCAGCTGATTATTCTACAAGATAATAACATTACATGTTTAGCATTCAGCAGACAGAATTGTCTTTAGAACGTTTGGTAAGATGGTCGTTATTGTTTTTAAAGAAATGTGAATCAATGATTTATTATTGTTGGCATTCTTGATAGAAAGTTCGTAAGACCATCGTCAACGTTTAATTTAAAATGATATGAGATGCTAATGGTCTAATCTGAGTCAAGGATCTATGCTAAGCTAAGCTAAAAATGCTCTTTCCAGATCCGGAGATCGTCTGGATGGATTAAAAAATGGTAAAACCCAATTGTTCAAACATATGAGAGTTGTAAAATGAGTCTATTTCCCAAAAGGTTAAGTTTTGTTACTTGCCAGTTAGTTTTGGTTGTTCATTAGAATTTGATAATTATTAATCGCTTAATGACTATTAATACGTGGCGAATTGAAAGTGAGCTAAAAGCCTTAGTTAATAGTTCGTTAATAGAGAGAATTGTACCTTAAAATAAAACGTAAATAATATACAGGATAATAACATTACATCTTTAGCATTCAGAAGACAGAATTGTCCTTAGAACGTTTGGTAAAATAGTCGTTTTTGTTTTGAAGAAATTTCAAACTGATTTATTATTTTAAGCATTCCTGACAAAAAGTTTGTAAGACCATCATTAATGTTTTTAATTTAAAATGATTTTGTAATAGGGCGGCATGGTGGCTCGGCGGTTAGTACTGTCACCTCACAGCAAGAAGGTCTGGTTTGAGTCCCAGCTGGGCCAGTTGGCACTGGGAGTTTGCATGTTCTCCCCGTGTTGGTGTGGGTTCCCTCCGGGTGCTCCAGTTTCCCCCACGGTCCAAACACATGCGGTACAGGTGAATTGAATAAGCAAAATTAATTGAAGCAAACTTCTTGCTGTGAGGCGACAGTGCTAACCACTGAGCCACCGTGACACCCTATTAGAAAATTAAAAGATAAAAATCTCACATTTAATTCAGTTATTTTAATCCAGTGTGTTAACATTGAGTTTAACTTTAATGAAATAATATTCATGTATTTATTTTAGAGGCCATGGTCTTTAGCCTCCTTGGTAGAGCAACCGACTCCCATGCGGAAGGTCGCCGGTTCGATACCAGCTCGGAGCGGGTTGGGTGGTGTAGGACCGGCGGGGTTACATTGGTGCCGTGACCCGGGTGGGAGTGAGGTTTAGGGGGGTGAGTGTAAAGGAGGCCAGCTAGTGTGTGCTTTGCAGGTAAACCTCACTCCTCTGACCTCTAAAGGTGCTCTAGCGACAGACGCCAGAGGCCATGGTATTTAGCCTCCTTGGTAGAGCACCCGACTCCCATGCAGAAGGTCGCCGGTTCAATACCAGCTCGGAGCGGGATGGGTGGCGTAGGACCAACGGGGTTACATTAGTCTCTTATTTATCAGGGATCGCCACAGCGGAATGAACCGCCAACTATTTTGGCATATGTTTTATGCAGCGGGTGGCCTTCCAGTACTGGGAAACTGCATGCAAACTTCTTGAGAAAAACTAGAATTTTAATTGTTTCTACACTCAAAAAATGATTTCTTTGTTGCTTGTTCTACCCAATTCTGGAGATTTTTCGGGGGAAACAAATGTTTTATGTTCAATCTCAAAATAGTCATGCTAACTTAATGAATTTGGGACAACATGAATAAATTGTGTGGACTCCTGCATTTTCTTACAGTATCAGGGGGGTTGTTTTTTTCATTACTAATTATATAACACCAGTTCAAATCAAAATTAATTGTTTTTTACTTATTCCAGTATAAGATGTACTGTGACTGAAAGACATGGTAGTTTCACTGTTTTTCAGTGTGTAGTCCAAAGAGCCAGAATTATCATTGTTGTTCGTTTTGTTAAAACGACCTGAGAATATCTGCCTTTAGCTCTCCTGCTGGTGTGGGTCACCACCGGTTCTGTCTTCAATTAGCAGCAACATTCCAGGCCAGGGTCAGCCGACCATGTGCAAAGCTTTCATTCTGTATGTCACGTTTTTTTCCCCCTAACCAAGTTGTAAAGCATCTGTAATTGTAAGCAGATAATCTTTCTGGCTCTTGAAATTCAAGAGTCCTTCCACGCGAAGCAGGCAGAGACATGGCTACCATGTGGTGCGGTCACCCTGTCTGCTCTTTCACAACACAATTAGCTCTGCTGAAAGGTATTTGCCATTACTCAAAGCAGCAGACTGCACACTACTTTTCCCATTCAGAACGGACCGACGATCTTTAAAACGTCATGCTTTGCTGGAGCCCGTTTGATTAGCTAAATGAAAAGCAGACATGTTTGATTTATTTGCAGATGAGTGGTGTATGCTAATAGCTTTTGGAAGTCAAGTTACATGCAGCAAGCTGAATGATCCACTGAGATCGAGGGTGCGTTTCCGAAAGCTATCCAAGTTTATTCATTCATTTTCTTGTCGGATTAGTCCCCTTATTAATCTGGGGTTGCCACAGCGGAATGAACCGCTAACTTATCCAGCAACTTTTTACGCAGTGGATGCCCTTCCAGCTGCAACCCATCCCTGGGAAAGCTATCTAAGTTCCATCGTTACAAATATAGTTCAGGGATATGGCGTTTCCCGAATACAGCATTCCAACGAACACTCGCAAGCTGCATGGCAAACTTGCGCATTTGCTAATATAACTCAAGAGCTGTAGTTAGAAGCAGAGTTCCCGGCAGTGTTCTATTCCCAGGTATCCCCCTATGCCCTATTCATTTAGAATGTTCCAATGTCCCATAAATGATTTTAAAAAAACCTAAAGCATTTCAAGAGTTCACACTTAGCTGATGATTTATAAAAGCTTGTTTGCCATGCTGTCCCGGGAGAGAGCCCCGAGCTCAAGGGCTCCTCGAGCCCGGGGCTTCCTCCCGTTGGCAGAGCAAGAGGGGAGCCTGAGCTCGGTGGATCTCAGAACTCCCCTGCTGCGGTAGCTAAGGGAACACAAGGGATTAGACAAAGCTTGATTGTTATGTATGTTGAATGTCTTTGGATGGTGGGAGGAAACCGGAGAACCCGGGGAAAACCCACGCGGACACGGGGAGAACATACAAACTCCTCACAGAAACACCCACCGGTCCTGTGGAACCAGGGCTGGCAGTGTTCTTGCTGTGGGGCTCACAGTGATAACCACTGGGCCGCCGTGCCGCCCAATCAGAGGTAAAGGAGGAAAAGGGGAGGAGGCGGGTTTCTTCCAAACGAAGATAAAGTGAACTGAAAACTGTGGCTATTTATAGTAGCTTAGGGCTCATATGATTGGAAGATAGTGATTAGCAAATGCGAGACCGGCCGTGATAAATCATAAGCACGTGATCCTCTCGGAATTAGTTTATGAATAAACTTCACAAAGTAGTTTCCTTTCAAAGTTAGTTTTTAAAGTTCAGTTTTAGAACTAATCATTGCACTCCCTTCGTAGTGCACTTTGAAGTGATTCATTCATTCATTTTCCTACGAAGTCCCTTATTCTCAATAATATTTGTAAGTAAAATAGAGGCCTTAAATGTGCCATTTACACGTTTCAATTAATATGGAAAGCAAATGCATTTTTTAATCAAAACTAATATTGGATTTAAAAAATGTGTATTCATGACAATATAATACAATATAAATTCTACAACAAAATAAAAAAATATTTTCTTTAAAGACTTTCTGGTCCCACTTTATATTAAGTGGCCTTAACTAATATGTACTTACATAGGAATTAATAGTTTGTTACAATGTACTTATTGTGCATATGCATGTATTTACTGTGTACTTATGCTTGATTAAATACATGCATGTAATTACATCTGTAATTAACTTTTGTAACTACATTTGTAAATACACTGTTGACCATCCCTTACACCTTAACCTACCCTTAAACCAACCCATACCACCAAACCTGTCCATAACCCAACCTCTATCCCAACTCAAAAGCACCACAAGTGTTCTCAAATACAGTATAAACACAGTAAGTACATTGTATTTATTTTTTAAAGTAAGTACATAGTAGTTAGGGACACTTAATATAAAGTGGGACCGACTTTCTTAACTCCGTTTAGAGCATCATTGTAGACATTTTACATTATAACTATACGGTTCAAATGATGCATCTCCAACAGAGCAACTACACTTTTGGGAAACACTTGTCACAACATTGTTCATTTCCCGAAAGATGCATCGTATTAAGGTAGTTCAGCTGCGAGTTACGTTATTGTTTAGGAAACGCTGATTGGTTGGTTTGGGAGTGTTAAGTTTCAGGTTTAGAATTGTCCATTATAAGTCTTACCTGAAGGTGTATAAGGGAGGTTTTCAGAAGCTGCGTCAGAGAGGGTGGTCTTCTCCTCTCCAGCCAATGGCATACTCTCTCCTCCATCAAACATACCAAACACATTTACCGTATACTTAGTGCCGGCCCTGTAAGAAAATCCACAAAGCACGGTTAACAATCTCCTCTGTCAACCTGACGAGGCTTATACATCAGCTGAAGGGCAAAACGAGGCTGCTGACTGACAAGTTATTTTATCTTGATTTAAGCATGGCCTTTGACACCACTTCTCATGCTCTCCTTCTTAAGGCTAATTTATACTTCTGCATCGAGTGCACGCGGTAGGTCTGGCGTAGCCTTTGCTTACCCTTTAACATACTCTGACACGGACCCTGATGTTGCAACATCAGGAGAACAAGCACTGACAGAGGTGCACAACTCAGTAGGATCCCATAAGAAAAAATGTGCACAAACTACGATGGAAACACATTTAGGGAATGAATTCCAAATATCCGCATCCAAATTTGATTTTAACAGATATTCATTAATTTCCTTTATTAATCAGGGGTCATCACAGTGGAATGAACCGCCAACTTATCCAGCATATGTTTTACGCAGCGGATGCCCTTCCAGCTGGAACCCATCACTGGGAAACATCCATACACTCTCATTCACACTCATACACTATGGACAATTTAGCTTACCCAATCCACCTATACCACTTGTTTTTGGACTTGTGGGGGAAACCAGAGCACCCGGAGGAAACCCACGCAAACACGGGGAGAACATGCAAACTCCACACAGAATTGCCAGCTGACCCAGCCGAGGCTTGAACCAGCGACCGTCTTGCTGTGAGGCAATTGTGTGAGCCACCGTGCTGTCAGGATTTAACAGATATGTGAAGTAGTCACTATGGGATGTCTTTAATGGACCCACCAGTGGATCAAGCACACTGTAAAACATCTGAAATGTTTTAATCTTTCTAAACTCCCTCAGCCAAAGTCTGTCATCACAGTGGTTTTTGAGTATGATTACTATATCATTATTACCTCATGAATTGTCTTGAACATCTGGGCTCTCTGTGTTTCATCTTCTGACGAGCAACTTATTTATTATATAAGAAAATGTCTTACTATAGCTTCTCTTACTGCAAGCAAATTACATTTTTCCTTTTGATACTTAACTTATTAATTAATTTCCTTTCGGTACGTAACTTATTGTGTCGTATGAGTGTTAACAAATGTGCTTTCGAATAAAATGTTCAAGTTTCTTTTTTAATATTATTATTAGCATAATAAGGGTGCTTTCACACCTACACTTTTGTTTCGGAACGTGTCTCGTTTGCCCAGTTAGCGCGGTTCGTTTGGCATATGTGAACAGGGCAATCGCGCTCTGTTCCGCGTCAAAGTAATCGCTCCGAGATCGCTTGAATGAGGTGGTCTCGGCTCGATTGAAACGAACCCTGGAGCGGTTCGATTGCAGTGAGAAAGCGATCCGATCCGAGCGCGGTTATATCACAGTGTTTTATGGATATGTAATAGGCTTACGGCTATATGAAGAGAGAATTATGAGTAGGGCGGGAAGTTTCGCGAGTCTCCGGATGCCCGCAAACGAGTGATGATCTCCCGGTAATCTTGCGTTTCCCTCCCGGCCCTCAAATAGGGATTGTCGCGCACCCTTCTCACCCCTCCCCACTGCATCTCTCCTCAGACACATCGCACGCGCGCACCCTGTCAATCACCACCAAACCACCACCTCTCCTGACAGTTTAGCGGGACGCTGTAAAATAAACCCTGACACTCTGACCAATGTGAGGAGAGTTTACTCGCACGTGACTTGTTTTAGCTCTTTTGGTCCGATTAGAAACTTTGCAGTGTGAAAGTGAACCGCTCCAAGAGCAAAGAACAACAATGTAACAATTGTAATCTCTGTTTCAGAACAACTGAATCAATTTACAGGTGTAAAAGCACCCTAAGATAGGAATATTAACACATATATTTTAGGGTGCTTTCACACCTACACTTTTGTTTCGGAACGTGTCTCGTTTGCCCAGTTAGCGCGGTTCGTTTGGCATATGTGAACAGGGCAATCGCGCTCTGTTCCACGCCAAAGTAATCGCTTCGAGATCGCTTGAATGAGGTGGTCTCGGCTCGATTAAAACGAACCCTGGAGAGGTTCGATTGCAGTGAGAAAGCGATCCGATCTGAGCGCGGTTATATCACAGTGTTTTATGGATATGTAATAGGCTTACGGCTATATGAAGAGAGAATTATAAGTATGGCAGGAAGTTTCGCAAGTCTTCGGATGCCCGCAAACAAGTGATGATCTCCCGGTTATCTCGCGTCTCCCTCCCGGTCCTCAAATAGGCATCGTCGCGCACCCTTCTCACCTCACCCCACCGCATCTCTCCTCAGACACGTCGCGCGCGCACGCTGTCAAACACCACCAAACCACCACCTCTCCTGACAGCTTAGCGGGACGCTGCAAAATAAACCCTGACACTCTGACCAATGTAAGGAGAGTTTACTCGCACGTGACTTGTTTTAGCTCTTTTGGTCCGATTAGAAACTTTGCAGTGTGAAAGCGAACCGCTCCAAGAGCAAAGAGCAACAATGTAACAATTGTAATCTCTGTTTCGGAACAACTGAATCGATTCACAGGTGTGAAAGCACCCTTAGTGTACACCTTACTAATGATGTGAACTATTAAAAGGAGAAACAGATGCACCTAGTATAAGAAAGCAACATATGGTTAACATAAGTTAAGGTTATGAAACAACTTCATATTCATTCATTCAAACATTTTCTTTTCAGCTTAGTCTCTTTATTAATCCATGGTCGCCACAGCGGAATGACCCGCCAACTTATCCAGCACATGTTTTACGCAGCGGATGCTCTTTCCAGCTGCAACCCATCTCTGGGAAACATCCATACACACTCATTCATAATGGACAATTTAGCCTACCCAATTCACTTGTACCGCATGTCTATGGACTTGTGGGGGAAACCGGAGCACCCGGAGGAAACCCACACCAACGCAGGGAGAACATGCAAACTCCACACAGAAACGCCAACTGACCCAGCCAGGGCTCGAACCAGCGACCTTCTTGCTGTGAGGCGACAGCACTACCTACTGCGCCACTGCGTCGCCCACAACTTCATATTATTCAACTAAATTAATTTTAATGCCGATTGATTTCAGGCTAGGGGCAACACGGTGGCTCAGTGGTTAGCACTGTCGCCTCACAGTATAAAGGTCGCTGGTTTGAGTCCCGGCTGGGTCAGTTGGTGTTACAACCGGCTCAAAGTTGCAACATTAGAGAGACAATACGGACCAGGTAAATTGAAAAGAGAAATGATTTATTAACAAAACGTATAATTAACAAAAACATTTAAGGCTATCAAAGTCAGCATAAGTGAAAGTCAGTAGTGCGAAGCATGTGTAAGGTAGTGTACTGAGCTCATGATCCAAACACAAACTAAAATAAATCAAAAGCGCCGAGCAGAGACGTCCGGCTAATCGAGCTCTCCCAGACAGAATGCCGGACTCCTTATAAACACCACACGATGAGTGTCAGGTGGGATGACCCACCCACCAATCTGCAATCATCATGCAGACTCTGCAAATCCCAAAAAATACACATACAAACAGGTCCCACATGGGACCTAACAGTTGGCATTTCTGTGTGGAGTTTGCATGTTCTCCCCGTGTTCACATGGGTTTCCCCAGGGTGCTCCGGTTTCCCTCACAGTCCAAAGACATGCGCTGTAGTTGAATTGAACTAGCTAAATTGGGCGTAGTGTATGTGTGTGAATGAGTGTGTATGGATGTTTACTGGGTTGCAGCTGGAAGGTCATCCACTGTGTAAAACATATGCTGGATAAGTTGGCGGTTCAATCCTTTGTGGCGACCCCAGATGATTAAAGGGAATAAGCCGAAGGAAAATGAATGATTTCAGGCTTTGCTTTCTCTAACAGACCATTTTAAAACAAAAACGATTCTCGTCCACACAAGTGTTTCCACTTTGTCACAATTTATAGTAGCATTAGTAATAAATAACTTCAGAATGCACACTAAAAACTTGATTCAAATCTAAACAAAAGTCTTTTACTCAGAACAATTATCATTGTTTTTATAATACTTTAATAAGCAGATGTTACATTGCGAATGTTTATTATAGAAACGAGGCTTTATTCCTCATTCGTGTTCCATTATCCATGTAAAACATCATTTGGCAAATGTTGTGGGTCAATGTAACCAGCAAAGGCCTTAAAATTGACCATTTAAAATGTGAAGTGTGTGTTTGTTTGACTGCAGGCTACGATGTCAGAGGTCAAGGGTTTTCAAGGGGCAAAAACTCGTAACTTTGTGAACCTAATAGTAAAAAGAAAGATATATGTTTTATAATAGGTGTAAATGTAGCCTCAGTGTTGATGTTACAAAGTTAGCATCAATATGTAGCTTAGCCCATGTTTGTTCAGCAATAATGTTCGTGCTCTTATTTTAAGATTGAAACAGATTGACATTGCTGAGCTGGAGCTTGATGGATGTTTCGCCCTGCAGGGGCCAGTTAAATAAACACACTCATTACCTGAAGACTGACACAGTGTCAAAGTGACCATATAAGACCATTAGGTTGAAACTTACTTCAAGATGTTTTAAAAAAATATATATTAGTTTCTATATAGTACTACTATATGTATGAAATTAGGACATGCTACATCCACCACTTGATCGGGCCAGTGCTGCCTTGTCATAAAAGCTTTCCTTGGCTGTGACTGTCTATCAATTGCGTGCAAATACAATCTTAGGGTGCTTTCACACATAGATGTTTGTTTCGGAATCTGTCTAGTTTCCCCCGTTAGCACGGTTTGTTTGGCATGTGTGAATCCAGCAGTCGCGCTCATATCTGCACCAAATCAATGGATCCAAGATCGCCTGAATGAGGTGGTCTCTGCTCGATTGAGCGTATCGATTGTAGAAAGAAAACAAAACAATCCAACAAACTAACGTCATAACCAAGTCGAATTAGAAAAAAGTTTGAGAGAAATTGCTAATTCCCTTCAAAACCCAGACGAGCAAAATAAGTACATTTTCTACCCCAATAAAGGTTTCTTTCTCATTACGTATTAATTATAGTTAATAACAAAAGATATACTGCGTGACTTTGCATTGCTTTCATGTCAATTCTTGTGTGTGTTTGGTTGTGAGACGTAGTTTGTGGACCGAGATAACATTGTTGGCGATTCTTCCTATTGTAAAGTCATGCAGTGTGGAAACAGCACCAACAGAATGCTACCCCAGATAGTCATGCAGTGTGAAAACATCTGTAACTACTTCGAAAATCGTGCAGTCGGGACTCGGCATAACTGAAATCAAAGCAAATCCCAGCAACTTCCTGTTCACAGTCAACTTTTACATTCATTTTAGATCGATTTACATTTTCCAACTGAAATTTGTCAATCAAAGAAATTCAGAAAACACAGGAATAAAAGGGATAAAGGTGTTTATAATCAGGGGTGCACATAACTGGTGGGGATGTGCGATTAAAACAAAAACAAATTGGACAAGATAGGGTGCTAGAGAAGCCATTTTGTGCATTGCATTTGGGGCCGAATTAAACTTGGGTGTGTAAAAGCACCATCTGGTCTTAAGGTCTTAAAACTCACATTTAAAATAGTTCAAAGTTCATGTTTTGATTTCATAGATATGCATATATACGTCATATATGAACATATATGCAACATATAATTCAAAACAATGTGAAAATTGCCGTTTATACAGTTAGGTCTATAAACATTTGGATACACCAACACAATCGATTTGAAATAAAATGAATGTCAAGATGTGCTTTAACAGTGGAGTGTCAGCTTTAATTTGAGGGTATTTACATCCAAGTCAGGTAAACGCTGTAGGATTTACAACAGTTTGCATATGTGCTTCCCACTTGTTAAGGGTCCAAAAGTAATTGGACAATTGGCTTCTCAGCATGCATTTCACTTGCTGAAGACAAAACTGAAGGAAAAATGTCCCAAGAACAAGCAGGTACTGAAGACAGTTGCTGTAAAGGCCTGGCAGAGCACCACCCAGAATGAAACCCAGAGTCTGGTGATGTCTATATGTTCCAGACTTTAGGCTGTAATTGACTGCAAAGCATTTGCAACCAAGTATTAAAAAGTGAAAGTTTGATTTGTGATTATTATTCTGTCCCGTTACTTTTGGACCCTTAACAAGTGGAAGGCACATATGCAAACTGTTGTAATTCCTACACCATTCACCTGATTTGGAAGTAAATACCTTTATCTGCAGTCAAAGCACATCTTGTTTTGTTTTATTTCAAATCCATTGTGTTGGTGTATAGAGCCCAAAATGTTTTAATTGTGTCAATGTCCAAATATTTATGGACCTAGCTGTATAAAAGTAAACACTGCAAGGAGCAAACAAGATCCCCAGGTACTCCTTTGAGAACCGAACCCAGAAAGTAATGTGCACCCCTGTTTATAAATCACATCTTCACTGTTCAACCGGCATCTGTTACACCTCATACCTTAGTTCCTCCAGAACCACAGTGTTGTCATAGGGGCCTACGAGTAACTCTCCCAGGTCCACTTCCTTTCCGGTGGGATGGAAAGTGACCTTGTAGCCTTTTACATCTCCAGGAGCATGATCCCAGGTCACCCTGAAACTGGTTTTAGTGGGCTCCGAAGTTTGCAAGTTTCTGGGAGCTTTATATTGAGACACTGGAGACATAATAAACAGTGTCACAGTGTTTACACAATGAACACAACTTCATAAAAAAGAAATAGGCTCATTTTACAACTCCCGAGAGATAAACAGTTGAGCTTTACCGTTTTTGGTAAATACATTCAGCTGATCTCCAGGCTTGGCAGGAGCACTTTTAGCTTAGCTAAGCATAGATCATTGAATCTGATTTAAACATTACCATCTAACTTAAAAAAAACAATTAAAAAGTGTTTTGATAATTTTCACATTTAAACTTGACTCTTCTGTAGTTACATTGTTTACTAAGGTCAACAGAAAATTTGCTCTTTTCTTGGCTGATATGGCTAGGAACTATACCGTCATTCTAATGTAATAAACAAGGAACGCTTGCTGCTGAACTAAGGCTACAGCTGGCATATTGAAAATAGTCCCAAGCTAGGTAACTAGGGAACAGTGCTGTGTATTATCAGTGTGCCTGCTGCAGCTGTGGTACAGCAGCAAAGTTCCTTGATTATAACACTACCCTGCTGGAAAATCCAGCTTAAACCAGCCCAAGCTGGTTGGCTGGTTTTAGCTGGTCGACCCTCTGCTAAAAAATCTAGCTTAAACCAGCCTAGGCTGGTTGGCTGGTTTTAGCTGTTTTTTTGTTCTGTAGGGCCAGCCTGGTTTTAGAGGGTTTTGGCCATTTCCAGGCTGGTTTCCAGCCATTTCCAGCCTGGTCTTAGATGGTCAGGCTGAAAAATGACCAGCTTAAACCAGCTAAAACCAACTTGACCAGCCTGGTTTAAGATGGACATAGCTGGTTTTGGCTAGGCTGGTCAGGCCGGTTTTAGCTGGTTATCTCCCAGCCTGACCAGCTAAGACCAGGCTGGAAATGGCTGGAAACTAGGCTGGAAATGGCCAAAACCCCACTAAAACCAGGCTGGTCCACCAGCTAAAACCAGCCAACCATCTTAGGCTGGTTTAAGCTGGATTTTTCAGCAGGGGAATGAGAGTATATAGTTCCTAGTCATATTGACCCAAAAACACCAACCTTTCATTTCGCAGCACTCTTAGTAAATGATGTAACTACAAAAGAGACAAGCTTTAAACTGGAAAATGATCACCCTGGTGAAATAACCAGCTTAAACCAGCATAGGCAGGTTGGCTGGTTTTAGCTGGTTGACCAGGCTGGTTTTAGAGGGGTTTTGGCCATTTCCAGGCTGGTTTCCAGCAATTTCCAGCCTGGTCTTAGCAGGTCAAGCTGGAAGATGACCAGCTAAAACCAGCTTGACCAGCCTAATCAGGATGGGAGCCCAGCCAAAACCAGCTGTGTTAACCAGACTGGTCAAGCTGGTTTTAGTTGTTTATTTTTCAGCTAAGACCAGGCTGAAAATGGCTGGAAACCAGCCTGGAAATGGCCAAAACCCCTATAAAACCAGGCTGGTCAACCAGCTAAAACCAGCCAACCAGCTTAGGCTGGTTTAAGCTGGATTTTTTTAGCAGGGCAAAACTCCTATTTCATTTTTGTGAGTGAGATTCTAATGGTCTAATTCATCTCAATGATTTGTGCTAAGCTATGTTAAAAGTGCTCTTAGTAAGACACAACCGTTTAACTTTAGATGACTTGTAAAATAAGCCTATTTCCAAAAAAAAGTAAACAGTTCCTTAAACTGTTGTCAAAAAAGTAAATAAGTTGTCAAAACATCTTACATGTAGTTCCTTCTCCTTGCCTTTGTCTTCCATCCCCAAACTTGTAGACGGGAACCACTGTGATATCGTAAGTGGTCTGGGGGATCAGGCGTCTCAGGACTATAGAATTGGTGCCTCCTGGTGCTTTGGAGGCCATTTGGCGTAAATCACCCTGAGGTTTGTATGATACCCTGTAATTGACAACATTGCCAGGTGCTGGTATCCATGTCACCTTCATGGTCCTCTCTGTTTCTTCTGACACCGTAAGAGCTCTGGTAGCGGCCGACACTATCAGGGAGATAAGTGGAAGAGAATGTCCATTAAATGTTGGCCCCACAATTCATAGGGGACACGAAACCAAACCATCTGAATAAGGTAGGCTTGTCTTCCAAGATCTGACACAGACCATAGATTTCCTAGTCATGAGTATCCAGGCTTGCCGAAACAGTTGTACGTCATGCATAACGCGGACGCTTTAAGACTGTCTGCGATGTTCTCTTTTTATGCCGCGACTGGATTGCTTTTACGCAAGAGGGAAAGGAATGATTTGTCCACTTTAATCGACCTACGGAACACTTTCAGATGGGGAGACCTTTTACAAATTGGAAGTTTTATGGATGGAAAATAACACTTCCAATGTTTCAAAGCGTCCCTGTTCCAAAAGGACAAAGTGTGTAAATGTCGGTCCTGAAGGAGGTAAGCAGCGGAGTGATGGCAGATATAAAATGCAGCTGCCTGAGCCAGAAAACGGTTTTCGACTGTTGGACTTTTAAAATGACAGACAATAAATAAACATCTAGACAGCACGATAATCCAATTATAGATTTACAGCATGCTTAACCAGCTCTAAGCTTGACAGAGATGTCCTGTTGATTAATAAGGAAAGGGATGCAATAAGCGCTCTAGAGTTTGCAGAAATCCGCAACCCCCCCAGATAACAGGCACCATGTGTAAATCATTAAGCCAGCCACTACACAGGCTCCATACACTGCTCCATATGTTACAATAGCCCACAGCAGAGTCTCTTTAAAGGAAACAGTGGCAATGACGCAAACCTACAGCAATGACGCTCTGCCCACAAGGAAAGAAAAAGGGGGTTGCTCTCTTTTACTTTTTCCACATCACCAGGAACACACAGACACTTCTGTATGAGAGCTTTTGTTTTTGCATGCTTTGGTACCCGTGCTATTTATGTTTTCAGCCATTAAAATCACATTAATATGAACAGTAAAAATAAAATCAATACAAATGAACTGTTATACTATACTATAATATGGTTTTGAGGTGGCGAAAGACTCGCAGAGAAATTAAAAAATTTTATTTTCTAGATTTGGTTAGATGTGCCCCCATGGCTACTGCTGACACAATGATATTAAGCAGCGCTGTTACCTACTTAGAAAATGTTTTGAGGTCCTGCATAATATCAGGTAACACTTTACAATAAGGTTCATTAGTTAATGCATTTACTAACATGAACTAATCATGAACAACACATGTACAGCATTTATTAATCATAATTGAACATTTACTAATGCATTATTAACATCCAAGTCCATGCTTGTTAACATTAGTTAATGCACCGTGAGTTAACATGAACTAACAATGAACTACTGTATTTTCATTAACTAACGTTAACTAACATGAACAAATACAGTAGTAAAGGTATTGTTCATTGTTTGTTCATCTTAGTAAATGCATTAATTAACATTAACTAATGAACCTTATTGTAAAGTGTGACCTAATATCATTGTGCCAAATGGCAACTTTTTGGAAAGTTTTGAGCGACATGCTAACGGTCTAATCAGATTTAATAATTTATGCTAAGCAAAGGTAAAAGCGCTCCCATGAGACTCAAAGATTGACTGAATAGATTCAGAAATTGTAAAGCTCAACAGTATACAGTGCAACCAGAAAGTTTCATAGCGCTTCACTTTTTCTAAAAAAATTTATGTCACAGCCTTTTTCCAAAATGGATTAAATTAATTTCTCATGTCTCAACATTCTACACACAATACCCCATAATGACAATGTGATAAAAGATTTTTTGAAATTGTTTCAAATTTATTACAAATAAAAAAAACCCTGAAAAATCAGATGTACATCAGTATTCACAGCCTTTGCTCAATACTTTGTTGATGCACCTTTGGCAGCGATTACAGCCTCAAGTCTTTTTGAATATGATGCCACAAGGTTGGCACACCTGTCTTTTGCCCATTCTTCTTTGCAGGACCTCTCAAGCTCTATCAGTTTGGATGGGAAGTGACGGTGTACAGCCATTTTCAGATCTCTCCAGAGATGTTCAATAGGATTTAGGTCTGGGCTCTGGCTGGGCCACTCAAAGACATTCACCGAGTTGTTGTGAAGCCACTCCATTGATATTTTGGCAGTGTGCTTTGGGTCATTGTCCTGCTAAAAGATGAACGTCCGCCCCAGTCTGAGGTCAAGAGCACTCTGCAGCAGGTCTTTATTCAGGATGTCTCTGTACATTGCTGCATTCATCTTTCCCTCTATCCTGACTAGTCTTCCAGTTCCTGCTGCTGAAAAACATCTCCACAGCATGATGCTGCCAACAGTAGGGATGGTATTAGCCTGGTGATGAGCGCTGACTGGTTTTCTCCAAACGTAATGCCTGGCATTCACTCCAAAGAGTTCAATATTAGTCTCATCAGACCAGAGAGTTTAGTTTCCTATGGTTTGAGAGTGTTTCATATGTCTTTAGGCAAATTCCAGGTGCGGAGTGGTTTCCGTCTGGCTACTCTGCCATACTGGCCTGATTGGTGGATTGCTGCACAGATGGTTGTCCTTCTGTAAAGTTCTCCTCTCTCCACAGAAGAACGCTGGAGCTCAGACAGAGTGACCATCGGGTTATTGATCACCTCCCTGACTAAGGACCTTCTCCCCCAAACACTCAGCCTAGATGGCCGGCCAGCTGTAGGACGAGTCCTTGTGGTTCCAAACATCTTCCACTTATGGATCATGGAGGCCACAGTGCTCATTGGAACTTTCAGAACAGCAGAAATGTTTCTGTAACCTTCCCCAGCCTTGTGCCTTAAAACATTCCTGTCTCGGAGGTTTACAGACAATTCCTTTGACTTCATGCTTGGTTTGTGCTTTGACATGCACTGTCAACCCAGGGACCTTATATAGACAGGTGTTTGCCTTTTCAAATCCTGCCCAATCAACTGAATTTAACACAGGTGAACTCTAATGAAGCTGCTGAAACATCTCAAGAATGATCAGTGGAAACAGAATGTACCAGAGCTCAATTAAGAGCTTCACGGCAAAGACTGTGAATACTGATGCACATATGATTTTTCAGGTTTTTTATTTTTTAAATTTGCAAAAATTTCTAAAAAATCTTTTTTCGCATTGTCGTCATGGGGTATTGTGTGCAGAATTTTGAGGATATACACTAATTTAATCCATTTTGGAATAAGGCTGTAACACAAAAAAAAATGTGGGAAAGATGAAGTGCTATAAATACTTTCCGAATTAAATGTAACTCTATGGGAGTTGTAAACTTAGCATATTTCCAAAAAAAGTGGAGGGTTCCTTCAAGTGTTAACATCCTGATCTCTAGATATGGCTAGTTTTGTCATACTTCCGAAGAAATACCGTGTTACTATAGAGCTAGTCATTTATTATTCATTTGTTAGCAGCTACATTGAGTTTTAAGTCATTGTGGGCAGGTGTTCAGGCTCATAGAGGTATGGCAGATATACCTCATCAAGCTTTATGTGCATGTCAGTGGAATATCCTGACATTAAACACAGTATATCATGTTTTTTTCCTCTCTAGGGTAGGTTACCTTAGGACGAGAGGCCCACCTAAGACAAACAGAGCGAGGTAAAGAGCGCTGGGTCATATGCTGGATTCATTACGCAGGCGGGGAATGGACTTACCATCTGTGGTCTCCTCTCCGTGCAGTGGCGCCCCCTCCGCACGGCTGTAGACAGCGTAGACAGAAACCTTGTAGCGGGTCTCTGGTGTCAGCCCGTCCAGAACAGTGGTGGTTACGTCCCCGGGGACAGTCTTCTCGCCAGCTTCCTCTGAAAAGAGGGATTTCCAGGTGACCCGATAAAGACGGACGTTTCCAGGGGCGGCGGTCCAGGATGCTACAAAACTGTTCTCAGTGACGTCTGAAGTTACCAGATTCGAAGGTGAACCAAGTTCTGGATGATTGAGAGAGAAAAAAAAGACACAAACGGTTTAAAAACAGATCATATTTCAAGAAAAAGGTTTTGCAGGCTCTAAGGTCAAGGTCAGTCAATGCAAGTTACTTTCAGTTGAAACAGCTCAGATGTGCATTTTAGGTCAGGGTTTAGGTTTTAGACATGTTGCCAAACATCTCCTTTATAGTTATTTGGGAGTATGAAATTCAAACACTGATATACTTATTCACTCACACACAGGGCCTGAGCAAGCTGAACTGCCGCTCTAGGCAGAGGACGATCACGCCGCACTCAACCCCAATGTGAAAACGAAAGTGACCAGTTATGAAAATGAAGTGAGGTGTTGCGGACCTCTATTTTGCCGCCCTATGCGCGGATATAACTGAGGATGCGCGGGTGCTGATGGAGGGAGGTGTCGCGGACACCGCGCTCTCTATTCTGCCGCCCTATGCGCGGATATAACCGAGGATGCGCGGGCGCGGGCATGGGCATGGTAGTGGGGGGAAAAGTGGACCTGACTACCCAGGGCCCCGTCTAGGGAGAGGGCCCTTTGAAATCCCACCCATTTTTTATTATTTTTTTTTTTGTAGCCTACTTCGAATTAATTGGCCCCTCCAATTGATGTCAATGTCATTATTTATTTCAAAATATATTGATAACACCCCCCCGAAATGGTTTAGTCCACCCATAGACGGCAGCCGGCGGCAAACAAGTAACGCAGTGAGTCTAGAGCCTGATCATGCTGCGCAAAAAGCCCAAATCGGGCTTTCAAAAAAAGAAAGACAGGAAGGAAAAAGAAAGGAGGCAGAATGAGGGGAAGCAGCTGATGACTGCTTTCTTTTCAAAAGGTGAACTGAGTTTGCTTGTTATGAAACTACATCTAAATAAAGTTAACATAGTCAACTCCAGACAGCTGCTGCTAATGCAGGGCTCGAAATTGCGACCATCTTGGTCGCATATAATGCTGATTTGTGTACAGTCATTACTAGGGAAACCGTTATATTTCAGCGCTCCTAAAGCGCCCCCTTGTGACAGAGAATGAATTTTTATTTCCAATAAATTTTTTCAGCTGTTTATGTTCAAATTATTGCAATTATCGATCCATGTGTAAATGTGAAAGAAGTTAATGTGCCTTTTAAAAATCTAAACAATTAAGTAATACTAATATAAGAAATTATGTACTTGATTTATCCTTTTTAATGGTATAAAGGTTGAAATGCCATTGTATTAGATTGAGCACAAGTAGGCCAAATGCATCAATTTGGTGGTGAATGAAAGAACCAGTCATTATTATAATCTGATTTGATTATAGATTAAAACACTATTTGTGCATGTTTATATTCAAATAATTAAAAAAAAATGTGTAGGGGGCCCACTGACATTGAGAGGGTACAGGGCCCAGAATTTGGTGCTACGCCCCTGGGCGCGGGTGTCGCGGACCTCTGTTCTGCCGCCCTATGCGCGGATATAACTAAGGACACGTGGGTGCTGATGGAGGTGTCGCTGACGCCGCCCTCTCTATTCTTGCGTCTATGCTCAAATATATCTGAGGACGCGGGTGGTGAGGGAGGTGCCGCGGACATAACTGAGGACGTGGGTGGTAAGGGAGGTGTCGCGGATGCCGCCCACTCTATACTGCCGCCCTAGGCGGCCGCCTAGGTCGCCTCTATGGACGCGCCGGCCCTGCTCACAAACAAACTATGACTAATTTACTTTATCCAGTTCACCAATACCACATGTCCTTTGACTGTGAGGAAAACAAAAGCACCCAGAGGAATTCCACACAGACACAGGGAGTACATGCAAACTCCAAACAGAAAGGCAATCTTGCCTAGTCAGGACTTCACCCAAACAGGAGACCACCATGCCGCTTGCTATTTAAACTACTCTTTCAAATTGATTTTACTCTCATTCTCCACTAGTTGGGCCATGACGCCAGTAGCCTGCGATTGCTTTGATTTACTCTGTCAGTAACACATACCCTGGAAAACAGCTCTGCAAAAATAATCTCTCTCCCTGCTGCCACACATCTGTCATCACATCTACTTTCCATTGAACACGAAACCCCATCCATTAAACACAGACTGCAGATGTAGCTCGGTTTTTGATCTGCGCCATACCACCTACCTATCTTCTCACTCTCTCTCTCTTTCCTTTTCTCAGTTGTGGGTTGAGTGAGCCGAAGCAGAAAAGAGGAGAGACCCAAAATGATCTGAAAGTGTGGGAGTGCGGACAGGGTTGTCTACTAGAGTAAAGCTCCACTGTAACACCTCTTCCCATACTTCTGTTCTCCTAACCTCAGGATAGTCTAGAGTTTCTAGTGTCCTAAAACATGCTAAATGAGCCAAACGATAGTCCAAGTTAAATGCAATTAGCAGGTTTTGCATCACATCCACTAGACATCTCATAGACCTGGGAGGATAGGGACTGCAAATGGCAGGATAAGCGCTTAGGAAAATTATTGTCCCAGTTTCTTTCCGGAGCGTGCTCCAAAGTCTTAGTCTTCGTCTAAAATGTCTGTGCTGGGTTATTTATTTATTTTTCTGAACTGGAATATTTTAGACAGATGATGGTTTAAAACGCGAATAACTTGTGTAAGGATGGGCAATTAGGGAAAACAATAAACATATATATATATATATATATATAAATATACATATATATATATATATATATATATATATATATATAGGCGAGACAGTGGCGCAGTAGGTAGTGCTGTCGCCTCACAGCAAGAAGGTCGCTGGTTCAAACCTCGGCTCAGTTGGCGTTTGTGTGTGGAGTTTGCCTGTTCTCTCCCTGCCTTCGCGTGGGTTTCCTCCGGGTGCTCCGGTTTCCCCCACAGTCCAAAGACATGCGGTACAGGTGAATTGGGTAGGCTAAATTGTCCGTAGTGTGTGTGTGTGTGTGTCTGGATGTTTCCCATAGATAGGTTGCGGCTGGAAGGGCATCCGCTGCGTAAAAACTTGCTGGATAAGTTGGCGGTTCATTCCGCTGTGGCGACCCCGGATTAATAAAGAGACTAAGCCAACAAGAGTATGAATGAATATACCTATATAATTTCTAGCTCTGGCGGCTCACTTGAAAATAGGTGGATGCAATCAAAGCTAATGATTTATTGCATATCGCAAATGTCAAGATGTTATCAAGAAAATAAATCACATAATCTGACACAGCGACTGTTGTAAGCAACAATAAAAACCATGTAATCTAAACAATTCTTAAGATTGATTAACGTAAGCACTGATTAAAGTAAGGACTGATTAAAGCAAAGACGCAGCGCACCCATTCATGTTCAAAAACTATGGACTGAACATCAATAGTTAGGGTTAAGGTTTGTTTAAACCACTAAGCCAAATGGGATATGTGCTTTTGCAATCAACAGTAACTAATTCAAGATGAAACAGAGAGAGAAGTCAGGACTCTATGCCAGGTTGCCTGGATCTGAAGTCGTTTCTATGGCCAGCATAGAGGTCTGATTTTACTGACAGAACGCAGAAGAGAACAGGTCATTCGCTAATGACTTCAACAGGCTGTTTTTCATTATTAAAATTCAGACAAACTGCCAATACCAGGCCGTGCATGGGAAAGAACAAATATGTTATTGTGTCTCTGCACTGCAACTTAACAGAAACACAGCAGTGCCAGTGTACGGGTTTATTAATGATGTCCTGATATTGTTATGCGTTGAGGCCTGAGTAAAGCCAAACTTCTTTTGGACCTCCACATATGAGAATTTTCCCTGCTTGATCCTTGTTTTGGAGCTCCTTCCAAGCAAAATGTTGACGCTAACTGGGAACAGGAGTTCTAGCACTAATGTGACTGTCACACTGAATGATTTAATTTTGGAGAAGTTTGGAGTATCTGGAAGTTAGTCAAATTCTCCACTGCTACTTCCTTCAGTGACGGCAGGTCTGACCACCTCATGGATATTTCGTTTTTGTTGGCCTTCATTTTGATCACCTTGATCTACCTTCCTGCAGAGTTCAGCTCCAATCCTGATCAAGCACAACTCAACCAACTTAAGCTGCGGTCACACCAGAGTTTGAGTTTGAGATATTCTGTCATGCGGCGCTGCGAAAAGGGGCGGTATTAAACAAGCTTATTAGACATTTAAAAAAGCGAACAATTGCTCCATGTTTTAAATTTCTGTCCAGAGATGTCATGCTTGATCCTCGATTGGTCTCACGCAGTCAAGTGATGCGATTTCGCAGGTCAGAGTTTACCAAGCTTGAACTTTGCACCGCAGCAATCTGCGAAACTTGACGCATTTCCGGTCTGTCGCATTCGCAAGAGTATGAATAAAAGTCTATGGGAGGAAAAGCCCAGTGTGACCGCAGCTCAAGTCTAATCTGAAGGAGGTAATCAAAGACAGGTGTGTTTGATCAGGGTTGCAGAAAAACTCAATAGGAAGGTGGATCTCCAGAGTTGGGCACCCTTGGTTTAGGTCATAGTGATGATCCCTTCCTAATTAAACACAGTGTTAAGACTGGGACACACCAAGCTGATGCCAAAAACCTGACCAAATCAATTATATTGTTGGCTCACATCAGCTAAGTCCAGTCTTGTCTGGACCAAAAAGCTGCATATAAACACATCAAATGGATGACATCTGACTAAAACAAGGGTGCGTTCTGTGTCTCCAAACCTGCAGGTGGCAGTAGTCTGATTTAGTGATGGGAAGTCCGGATCATTTTACTGACTCGGATCTTTGAGTCTCGTTCATCAAGATGAACGAATCTTTTTTCGAGTCATTTCATTCATTTGGTTCAATTTGCCAAAATATTATTAACATGTTACGAACTGCTTCCAAACACATCTACAACTAGCCCAAAAGGTTGATCACACGACAAAGAAGTCATAAACAGAATATCACAAGGAGAAAATAATAATTCAATGTTTACCTGCTCTTTTGTCTATGAAGGCATTTTTGTCTCTTTGCTCAGCTCACCTCTTCATGTCTTCAAATGTCAGGGGTTCATTCACGTTACACTGACAGT